CTTCGACGATGGCGAATGACGATGCCTGAAATGTTGGATCTGAAGCACTTGACGGATTTTATTTCAGGTTTCATATTTGCCAAGCTTGAGGAATTCTGCATTACGCGGGCTCAAGTTTAACGCCGATATTCGCACGTCAAAGAGAATGGAATGATTTTTTTTTATTATCCAGTTCGGCTACAATGAGTTTTTCGGTTGTCGTTTCGAGAAGAGATTCATGACGGAAATGACTTGATTGAAAATCCGCCGCCATTCCATTTCCTTTGAACCATTTTTCAGGGCAGTGATTTGATATTGCTAAAAAAAAAATGAATCTTTTTCAACGTGTCCATCGTTTCCTGGCTTTTTATTCTCGTTCTAGGGTGGAATTACAAAATGTAGTCAGACCGTTACACGCAAGAGGCTCTTCTGAGTCAATTGTCGTAAGACAATTGTCGCTTGTCGGCAATTGGTACTCGGTGGAAGAAAGTTTTGAAACACTCGGGCTGTTCCTTCCTATGTCCTCACTCCCCATCGTCTGTTACATTGCGCATGTCCATGGCTTTCAGTGTCCCGATTGATTGGCAAACATTTTACTGATTGGGTTGTTGTTTCATTTTTGCTGGCTTTGGGAAAGATTTAATTTGAGGGCAATACAGGTTGTGTCAGAGAAGACTTCCCACAAATAATATTTACAAGAGAAACTTTTTTCCTGATCATTCTCCTTCAAGGTTTGAAGTTTAATCCCGCCATAGACAAACTCAAAGTAGCTTATCATCCGACGATTGTGGAACTGCTTTTCGGCATGTTAATTTAGTGCTTGTTTCAGTTTCCTGCAAGACTCCTAACTCATATCGAAAACGCACCTTTTTGCTTTCACAATAGAGAAACTATTATTGTGAGAAACTATTCCCAAATTCTCGTACGATAAGCTACTTCCCCTTTTTCCATCGCAAATAAAATTTAAATCTTGCAGAATATTATCCAAAAAAAAAAACAATTTCGATTTATCAGCAAACAATTTACAATTCTTGTAAATTGTAGAGTCAAATGTGTCAGTCTTCTTTGATACACTCAATATTTTTGTTTGTCTCCGCTGACTCGCTCCAGTGATATTGTATTCAGAATCTCTCATCTCGTATGATTCATAGCATAATGCTGACTTTCTAGTTTCGGTGGACATTCATGAGACTCCCATGTTTTCTATGAAATTCCGTAAACACTCCTTTATTTTTCTCCACTGGTCAAAAGTCAAGATTGTTTGCTCTTCGAGCTGAGCAATTGTAGTTTCTGAATCAAATAGGAATATTCTACCTGGTGTATACCTCGTACAGCTGCTTGGAAAACAATGCGATTTCCGACAATAGCTTCTTAGATGGGATGTTTTCCCAAGTGGAGGCATTTCATTTGTCCAAGTGGCGAGCAGCTATTGGCGGAAGCGAGAACTTTGCGGGGGTGGATGCGTTAGTCAAGCGCCCGCCAGAAATCTGTTTTATTGGATGGGTTGGATTAGAACTTTCAGGGGGGTTGCGGGGAAAGAGAGCCATGGGTGATGTTCCGCAAGGATTGACAAAGTTTTGAGATCGTACATCGCAAATTTAGCATTTTAAGTTTGCCCATTGCGGGAAAGCACTCAAACTGAAACGGTTAGCATCCCTAGATCTTGATCTCAAGGACATGCACGTACGTAGTTCAGAATCGGTTGGAGTGTCACCTCACCAGCTGAAAATATTCGTTTCTTTCCAGCCGTTAAGAATCTCGGATCGATCCTTGAGAATGTAGAGAGAGAATGAACATGTAAGCGGAGACAGGGTCGCGAGCTCAACTCGCGCAATAACGCATCTAGCAGTGCTGCCCGTTGTACTCCCCTCCCATCTCCCAATCTATCAACAAAATCCACACGTTCATAAATATTGTAAGGAGACCCACTACTGAACTGGGCTTGTCCAATGTCTCTTATTATATTGAGTCAAAAGAGCGTACGGGGAGTGCTACGATGCAATGGGTCAACCACACCAAGGTCCATACTGAACGTTCAAATATTGGGAAAGACAGAATACAACAGATCACCGATCTGGCAACCCCTATACTTGAAGACCCCCAACGAAAAGAAAAAGAATCTAGGAATACGAGGATAGACCTGGACGAAGGCAGACAACGACGACGTAGCTCGAGGCTACGGTGTACTCCTCCCTTGAACAACCCCCTCTTTAGATAGGGGCGAAGGCACAGTTACCACGCGCATGCGCAGTGCCACAGACAGGCAAGAGAGTGAGGATCTAGGGACAGCCCATGCGGCTCTTGTTTCAAAACTTTTTTCCTCCAAGTACTAAGTGCTGACAAGCGTTGATCGTACCACTATTCACTCGGAAGAGCCTCTTTGCTGCATGGTCTGACTACTTTTTGTAATTTCGCCCCGGAACGAGAGTAAAAAGCCAGGAAGTGATGAACACATTGGAAAAAAGAGTCAATTTCTTGCTAATATCAAAGCACTTTCCTGAAAAACTGTTCAAATGATCGGAGGAATGGAGGCGAGTATTCAATAAAAGTCAGACGCTGCGCACCTCCATAATGAATATCGTCTCGAAACGACTACCGAAAACGCATTGGCCAAAAAGCGGAACTCGATAAAAAAAAAAACCTTCTCTTTAACGTGAAAAAATCGGCGTTAAACTTGAGTTAAGGAGAATTTCTCGAGGTTGACAAAGATGAAAATTGCATGACGATCCGCCGAGCGGTTCGGATCCTATGACCCTCTCAAACATTGCGCATGGAGTCATCTGCCCTCAGACGGAATCCACACGGAATCTGGCGAGGAAGGTACCGAAACAATCGGAACGCTCTCCTCTAACAGACTTATGGAAGAGTTATATTATATGTTATTTGAGAAGCGAGTAATTCCGTGGGAACATTTAGTCGTTGCAATTTCGAGTTCAATTTAGAGTGCATTTTGATGCAAATCTCAAAAACGCCCTGAGGAAAAGACATGAAATTTGGCATGAGAATCACCCAAGCAATGGTCTAAGTCAGCATTTGTGCGAAATGAATCTGTGACCGGAATGGCAGCCTAATAAGAACATTTTAAATGTCAACTTTTCTCAATAGATTCACGTTTCACCTTTGACCTATGATGCAAGGACGTAACGTTGGCATTCAATTCAAAGAGCAAAGCCCCAACTGAACGAAAGCTGTGATTCCGCATCGAAGTGTTTTGGAGTTATGGCCATTTATTTATCCATTTTCTGCCATTCTTTCGACTCTTCCACAGATCTCTCTTATTATCAGTCAATTGTGAATCCGAGATATTCCAATTCCTGCATCCCGTCACGAGTCAGAACAGAGGGCGACGAGTGTTGTAATGTACGCGACTATGTAGAAATTCGTACCAATCCCCCAAGCACTCGGAATTAGTGAACAAATAAAAGTCAACTAATATCGCAACACGGATAGTCAGAAACTCCAGACGCCTGGATACAATGGGGGAAACCGAACGAAGTCACACGGCGAAGCCTCCAGCTATTTTGATCATCCGAGCGACGAAACTCTTTCAAGAGCTGAGGCATGCAAAAGCACTGCACATGCGCAGTGACCCAGGCAAGGTGGAGCGAGGACGGGAAGAACAGCCTGCAAAACGCTCTCCTCTGAGAGGATATTGCATGGCACAATCTGCACGGATTCTGGCGATGAAGGTGTCTACAGAATCGAGAGACTCTCCTCTAGCAGAATTTTGGAGGATTTTTCGCCAAGTCACTTGGGAGGCGAGTTATGCCATGGGAACCTCCGAAGTCGCGTTTTCTTGTCGATATTTAGGGTACATTTTGATGAAAATCTCGAAAATGCTCTGAAGAAAAGACGTACCATTTTGCAGGAGGTTACCCAAGAGTATGATTACATTTCGGTCGTTCGATTTTGTGCGAAACGAATCCGTGACCGGAATGGCAGCCGAATGAGCATATTTACGATTTGGGCCTCTCTGAGTTAATCGCTCGTTTGACCTTCGACCTTTCACTCGAGGACGCATCGCATGTATCCATTTGAAAGAGCAATGTCTCAGCTGCATTAAAACACTAATTGCACATCTCGATACGAAAGGGTTTGAAAGTTATGTTTATTTCATTGGAACCCAGGGAAAGGCCATCTAGCGGCAACTTCAAACATTAAATTCAGCAAAACTGTAGGTAGACCCCACCTTCCACTCCTCTCGAGATCCCCTACAATATTTGAGTTCCTTCCTACCTTAACTCGTTCTCTGGCAGTTTCCCGGCTCTGCAAATGTACCTGTTACTTGCTTCGATCCTTGCTGGTTCTGGCGAAAGGATGGTATAGAGATGTGGTCCAAGGTCTAACGAGACAATACCCAAGGAATAAAGGCCATTATTGCCATAAGGGCCGATAGCGATTAGGTTGATGGAGAAGATAGACCTTTTGCGCGATACAATTTCATGTTTGCAAGCATATCCAGTATAATGCTCGGATACGGGGAAATGGCACTACCCCATTCCACCCTCCCCCTGAAATACTGTTGAATATTGAATATAATATTGAATGCGAGGCATTCCTGTTTTGTCCGGACGTTTCCCTTCGCTTCGAACCACAAAATGGGATCCAAGTGTTTTTCTGAACTAGTAAATTTTTTTTTCCGTTTAGGGTAAAACGGGAAAACCCGACCACCTGAAGGTCGAGTCGAACGCACAAACCATACGGTCGAGACGACCGCCTTAAAATGCATTCGACTCGATCGCCGGATGCTCGAGTTTTCCCCTTTCCCCCAGCCTCCGCATCTTTAAAGCCAAATCGTCTCAGCCTCGATTCCCTCTCCCGAAGCGCAAGACGACGAGCAAAAGCGACCGCGCTTAGACCGGCATGATCTCAGCGCGATGGCATCCCCCGACGACCTCCTCCGCTCGAACGAGTGGGTCGTAGCGCGGTCATGCATACACCCTTGCGAAGATGACGGAATCGGAGAAGAACGAGGCGTCTGCCCGTAGGGTCATTCCCACGGGCGAGTCAGTCGCGGATCTGCCCGAGAGAGAGAAGGACGTGATCGGCGCGTTCCCGCTCTCACTCGCGTGCGTCGTGCAACGTGCCTGCTCCGAGTTCTCTCGTGACACATTAGGTAGGCCCTTTAGGGATCGTGCAAGGGATTCAACTTACCCTGGTTTCGACCGGAGAACACCCAAAGAACCCACTTTTAACAGTTTTTTCATTTGTGGCAGTCAATTTTTCACTCGACTCGGGACACCTGGGCGCGGAAATTCCTCTTCCGTGAATGTCGAAGTCGAGTGAAAAACTGACTCGTGTGAAACACACTGTAATAGGTCGAAAATGTCGAGTCTGTTCGTAGTGAAACCGTTTCCGATCCATGCACGGCCCCCATACCAGATTCCAGTGTTACTTGGGACATCTATGTGTCTTTTGTGTCAGCTCGGCCGACTCGCCCCGAAAAAGGATGAGGGAAGCTCGTGTGCCGTCCTTGCCCTTGCCCATGCCCATGCCCTTGCCCTTGCCCTTCCCCTTGTCCTTGGGATTGTCCTTGTCCTTCTTTGTCCTTCTTTGTCGACTCCCATTGTGCTTACGTGCGTCATTCCATCATGCTCATTTTAAAACGGAAAGGAATATCAGCGAGTCTGCAAGCTGGGTTCGATTCCCTTTCCAGCGAAACCTTCGGATCGATTTCAATTACCTCACATTCACATCGTTTCCGAGCGACTAACCGGACACGATTTCTCGTAAGATGCCAGTCAGTCAGCGCACTCTTTCGGTCAAATAGATCCGCGTGACGACCCGTGCAGCGTTAATGGGATAACGAAAGGCCTCCCGGAACGGTGCCAGGAACCGACCCGAATCGTATCTTCACGATCGGGAACGAGTCGAAATCGACCCGCCTCGAAGTCGACCCGCCTCGCAAAGAACATTGTATCGCCGGACCGGCTACCGGTTCCAAGCCCTATTCTCTCCTCGGCGTTTCGAGGAAACCAACTTGGAACAAGGGAAGCCTCTTCCGTTAAGCATTGCTCATTGCGCACCAAAGAAATAGGCCATCTCTTTTGGGTCTAAGAGCTTTCAATGGACGAATTGCAAATTCCGCGTTTTCTTTGTCGCTGTTAGAACCGTCCAGAACGTTTTTTTTTTTCCATGTTTGTTTTCTCGGCTGTTTCGTGGTATCGCGACTGCTTGATTCGGTCAACGATTTCCGTGAATTCTCGCTGCGGGAGCCATCCCATCCGACTATCGACGATGGATTTCCATTTTAAAGATCATAAAAGAAGAGTTTAAGTTCTTCGCGAACAGTTATCATCAAAACGAACTAGAGTTATTTTACATTTGACGATAAGAGATGACGGATTTTCCAAGGCAAACATGAAAAAATGACGTCACTTTTCCCTGTCAGAGGTTCGAACCGGACACAGAACGGCATTAAGCTAGGACACAGAACGGCATTAATCCAAGTCACAGCGCGACTTAGCTTAACCTCATCATGGCGGAGCGCTAAAACAAAAGCGACAGTGAAAAAAGCGCCTTAGGACCTCGATTCGGCGAATCGAATTTCCGAACGAATTTCCGAATCGAATCCCGAACGCGTCGAATGAGAGACGACTTGGAATTCGAAGGATCCCTTACTCCGGAATCGGTACTGGAATCGGTATTGGAATCGGTACTGGAGAAGCCCGTCCGCTTCCCTTCGATATCCAGGTCGTCCAGAGGGCAAAAGAGAGGGAAAAGGAGGTTCAGTGGAGGAAGAAGCGGGGAGTCGTCGTTTCGTATCGCTCTTTTATCCTTTTTCCTTTCCTGCTTCCTTCGACTCTCCTTCGTCTTTTGTGAAGGACTCGCCCCGACGACTCGCGATGATCCCCGCATTTTGCATCGGTTCCACCGACGTTGCCGCACGTTAAGCTCGACGAATCCACGGAGCTTCATCGCGGCTTCGTCGTCTGTTCCGTCGCGCACCGAAGCGGATCGGAACGAGCGCCTTTTTTTCCTCTCTTTTTCGTATCTCCCTTTCGAATGGGATGGAATCTCGTCGTGACAGCCGTCCGGCGTGTCCGGCGTGCACGTCGCCCGAGTGCGTGAGCGAAATCGCAACTCCGAAGAATTCCGTTAACGAGCGGACGCCGCAGTTTCTCTCGCCGGAATTTCGAGCATATTCAAATTCAAAATCGAAATCCTCGGAAAACGGCGCCTTCGAACGCGTCGACTGACGGACGAGACAAAAAGGCAGACGAGAAGGAGCTTTAACGAAGGAAAAATCATGTCAAAGGAAGAATGGAACCCGAAGAGCATCCGCCTTTGTTCTTGGGCTTTCCTTTTTCGGAAGAAAGCCGAGGAGCGAGGAGCCATTCGAGCCATTCGAGGACGATCGGCTCTTTAAAAGTCGTTTCGTCGCATTCTTGTCGCGAAAAAAATCCTCTTTTTTTTTATCCTTTCAGAGTCGATGCAGTAGGCTGTTGCGAATTTTTTTTTCTTTAAAATCGAGATAAAGCTTTTTGGTGGATTTTTGAACAGAGAGATATCCGATAATGCTGCTTTATTTCCATTTCTCTGTTCAAGAATCCAGCCTTAATTATTTTGTCGGTTGAAGTTGATAGCCCTGCGTTTTACTTTGGTCTCAACGATTTCAGCTCCTAATATCAAAATGTAATGCAGAGAATTGCATTGTACTTCCACAAATATTCAATAACTGTACAATATCGAATTTTAGATTTACTTTTAAAATTTACCTTGAAAAAATAAAATAGTAAATAATAGAAAACGAAACCGCGAACATCCCCGCGAATCCCCGCGAATCTCGATTCGCGGCGGGAACGACCGAGCGAAATGGAAAAGCCAAGTCGGGTGGAAAAGCCAAGCCAGATGATAAAGCCAAGCCAGATGGAGAAGCCGTGCTCCTCTCGCTCCCCGACTCCACGCCCGCGACGCGTGAAAGAGACGAGGCAGACGTGCGGGAAGACAATGCCCATCCCTTACGAAAGGACTATCCTCTATTTCTCACTCTTGTCTTCCGAGGAAAAGAAAGAACGGAATAAAGTGCATTGTATGGTGATGCGGGAATTCTCCCTCGTCCCCCCTCTCCCCCCCTTCCCCTCTCCCCTCCCTCCCCCCTCTCCCCCTCGCATCGCTCAATCGCACTCCGACCTCGCTGCGGAGCGCCTCGTTCGGTGTCCGGTGTCCGGTGTCCGGTGTCCGGTGTCCGGAATCCGTGTCATCTCGCCCGTCCGTGACTCGCAATGCCGCCGCGTATTTAGTGGGAATCTCGTCGTATTTATAGGCGGAAGGCGAGAACCCCGTTCCGGCTTTTATATTTATCGCCGGCGTTTGCTTATAGCCGACTCCAGATTAAGCTTCCATCCGTGCATCTCCCGTGCACCACCCGTGCACCACCCGTGCACCACCCGTGCACCACCGTGTCCTTTCTTATGGTTTCTGTTTGTGCTTCTACGAGGTAAATCTGTGGTTTCATCCGACGAAGCGGACCAGCTTTTATTTCTACCGTATTTTGACTTACGGGAAAATTAGATTTTATTAGATAATTAAGATCGTGACGCTTAGCTCAAAATGTGAAGAATAAGGTTTTGCACCGTTCTCATGAGGAACGGACCCAGTGAAAACAACCCCCCCCCCCCGCCCCCCCAAAAAAAAAACCAGAAATCACTTCAAATCGTTTTGTTTTCAGGGACTGTTAAGCGCGAGTTTTCCTTCTCGATTGCGAAGAACGTTCAAATTGTTCTCCGTGGTAACTTTTGAACCCAGGATGGAGGGGAATATGCGTCATGAAGAAATAGAAAGTGCGATAATGCCTCTGGCGATCGGCAGAGAGCAATAGCAACTCGCCCGCGTTTCGATCCAGAGAATTTTCCACTTTTTTTTAAGTTTCTTTAAAGTTATGGTTTCCGCGGTTTTTCGTCTCGTGTGAAGGCAGGAAAGTGTCTCGCAGGAATATTAATTAATTAATTAATTAATTAATTAGGTATGCACTTAGGTATCGCGTCGAGTCTCATCGTCCGTTCGCACCCGTTCCGCGAAAGTCCGCGTAGTCGCGGGCGGGGCAGAAACACGAGCCTGCCTTGACGTCATCGATTGCGTCACGGGGAGTTTAAGCCCCGCCCACTTCGTTCGCGGCCGCGTTCCCGTTCCCGCCCTCGTTCGGGAAACTCGATTATTTCGTCGGTGGCGGTGGTCGAGACCAGCTCCGTCGCAATCCGGATCTTTCTTCGTCCAAGGTTTCCCGTTCTTTTCTTGTCTTGCGTCCGCATTTTACTAACAAATTGAATAAAAGTGAGTAACGGCGTGGGAAGACTCGTAGAAGCGGTTTTGCCTTCTTTTTTGGATGTGCGCGATTTATGCTCAGTTGCGGTGAACTTCGGCTTTCATCGAGCAAGATTAATTGTAAAAAGGAAGAGAGAATTTTCTTCGTTTTACTTCCTTTCCTTCAAATTCGCTCATCTTGACCTTAATTATAGTGGTGCTCGAAGGCATAAGGTGGAGCGATGAGCCGCCTTCGAGCCCGAGGAACCTGAAAACTAGCGATCGCTCGATGACGGGAAGCCGCTGGCCGCCGCTGACCTCTGACGGATGTTGTTTTTCACTTGCCGTTATGCCTAGGTTTGGCTTCGGTTATCGTTTTGGATCTCCCGAACGGCTCGATGCATCGCGAATGCCATTTTCCCAGCAAAGGGCAAAAGGGCAAAAAAAAATTCCTAATCGTTGAGTGGAAGGGCCACGAGTCGCCTGTTTCGCTCGTACGACATTCAGTTCGCTACCTGAACTGCGGAGCGATTTTCGATTCCGATTTCGATTTCCCGCAACGCAGCGAGGTCGATAACAACTCGAGATGAATTATTCTGCTCACGGGTCGCCTCGTACGAGACGACCCGTGCCCCTTCACGACGGCAGTAACGCACGTGTTGCCAGGATGAACGAAGTGAAGCGGCGGAAAAATACGATAAGTCGTGAAGACGGAATTTCCAATTCCGCAATTTCCCCTTAACGACTCTCTCCTGTGTTTCAGTTTCTGGCCTTTCGGTTCGAATCGGTGACGCAACTCGTTCGGTGGCCACGATGCCGATGGAGAAAGCGGCGGCTCTCAAAGCGGCGGTCTTGGTGCTCCTTCTCGCCGGAGGAACCCGTGAGTCCCCCCTCGAGTCCCCCCTCCAGTCCCCCCTCGAGTCCCCCCTCGAGTCCCCCCTCGAGTCCCCCCTCGAGTCCCCCCTCGAGTCCCCCCTCGAGTGCCTCCTTCCGCAATGGGAGATCCATGAATGACGATGCACGATCGGCAGATGGGATCCGGTGTTATCTGTGCGGGACCCCGGACTCCCCGGCGTGCGAGCGGGGTGCGTACAACAAGATCACGTGCTCCCCGGGCATCCGCAACTGCATGGTCCTCTTCGCCAACAGCATCAAAGGTACGACCACCTAAACGAGATGGAATTTCACGAAGAATTACCGAAGGCAATCGGACTCGGCCGGTTCACAGTAGAGACCAGATGCGAAGTCGTGTCTGTGAGAGGAAATTCCGCTAAAATTTTTGGAAATCGGTCTTCAAGTTTTTTATTTTTTTTTGTTGTCGAGATGAAATTTATCAATTGTATATTGTAACATAAGTAAATACTTTTAATAATTCATTAATGTGTTAACATCAATTTGTTTCTTCATATCAATTATATAAAACTTTTTAAGGGAATGGATTCTTTAAAAATGTCATCGACCGTAATCGGTTGAAACCGACGACCGTTTCGCTGCCGCAGATCGACTGCTGGTCCGCGGCTGCGGCCTGGTGAACCGAGACGTGGCGGACAACCAATGCCTGGACGTGAACGACTCCTCGACCGGGAGCTTCGGATTCGGCTGCTTCTGCAACAGCGACTATTGCAACTCGGCGGTGACCGTGTCCGCGGCGGGGCGGATGTTCGCGGTGGTCCTCTCCCTCGCGGCTCTCTTCGTCTCGCGGAAACTCGTCTGAGAAGATTCCATCGCCTGCCTCTGGCTCTGTGATATGACCCCAGGGTTGTTCTCTGCCTCCGCAATCACGAGTAACTTCGCACGAACAACGTAACGTCCGAATTTTGAGTAAACGATATGCTAAGAGAGGAAAAAAGATTTCACGTAGGTACTTTTCGGTCACGCCGTAGCGTCGAAATCGAACGACCGTGTCTCGTTTCGAGTGTAGACCTAGTCCTTGTTTCGCGTCGCGTCGTTCGGGACTTTCAGACCAAATCGGCATTAGCGTTGAATCGACACGATTCATTTTTCAAATTTCATGTTTTTTTTTTACGCCCGAATGTATGCTTCTCTGCAAAAATTTTCAGTTTCGAAAGGTTCAAAATTCCTAGCGAAGTCCTGAAAAACTTTTTTTTGTTCGTCGTTTCTTTTTTTTTGTTGTATAATTTTTTTTTCCATCCCAATCGCCAGAATAATCCCTTTTGAAGAACGTCGTCCCATTTCGACACCATCTCATATATCCCCATTGCAACACCTTGTTTTGTGTCGAAACGGGAGCAAAAGCGAGCCTCGAATGGAATTCCTCGTCCCGATTGTCCTCCTCCTTCAATAGGTCTATAGAGATTTTTTTTCCATTTTGTCGTTTTGTGTGGAGCATGCGAGTAATAAATAACTGGATGACGTCACGTTGCGACATCTCATCACGTGATCCCCGGAACTTTGGAAGGAAATTATTCAGAATGGATTCTTCACGGGCCGGATTTCCAGTCGCTTCCATTTATTTTGCTTTCATAAGATTCGAGTAACGCATTCGTAACGTCACCCTGTCGACTCTGAAGCTCGCCGATGTCGCCATTTGCCGACACGGTCGACTTTACTTGCGAGATTGGCACATAGCATGTGTGAATTTTTCCCAATATTGAAAATGAAATATTGTGAAATATTGCGAAATAGTGAAATATTTCACGAGCATTTTTGCATCGAAAAATGGAATCGTACAGAGAAAATATTTGGGGTTCCTCGTTTGAGATTACAAGGTCTTTAAACGATGGTGACGAAATCTCAAGAAGTGCGAAAGTCTCCGCGACCGATCCGCCAGGAGGCGCCGAAGAGAAAGGAGTGGAAACGGATAAATGCCAGAACCCGATACGGGGATCGTGCGGGAGGGTAATGCGTCTGCAACGCGAGATCGCATCGGAATAGACGGGAGGCGATGACCGGGGATATCGGTTGCAGGGGATGCGGATGGCCTCGTTCGCTGGTGGCACGAGAGGCCTTCTCGAGAGGCCTTCTATTTCCGCGAGGAGGGATTGAATGTTGAGGGAGATTTGGAGATCGGCTAAGAGGGATTCGGCAAGAAACGATTCTGCAGGTGCAGATGAGTATTTTTGTGGTATTTTCTTTTAACTCGCACGGTATGAAAAACACAATTCACAATTCAGTTCAATTTTAAAAAAAAGAGAGAAAGTGAAGATGCAGGGAGGCCAAGATGCAAGGAAGTCACACGAATCCGATGGAGGAAAAGGGGCTCTGCGGACGCGAGACCGAATTTTTTACCTTTATCGAGTCTCCAATTATGCCCTTTTTCGTCTGGCTGCGGGCGTGTTTTCGCCGCTGTCAGATTTTCTGGAATCGTAAAAAAAAATGAAAAATGAAAAATGGATTTTCTTTTCTTGCCTCGATGAGAGATGGTCCCCGAAATCCCGGGAAATCTCCGTTTCATCGACTCAACACGTCGCACTTCCTCGAAACCAGAACAAAGCGCCCTTTCCCGCGATCGATCGCGATCGCGGATCGAGCAAGCGGAACCACCTGGCGCATCGGAGAAGGTGTCGGCGTTCTCGCCCGATGATTTACGAAGGGCGAAGGTGAAAAGGAAGTCAAACGAGGTCAAACGAGGTCAAAGGAGGTCAAAGGAGGATGTCCTCGCTTCAATACAGACGAATCGACCGTCGGCATAGAATAGATTTCTGGTTGACTTCGGAAAATATCGGAAACTCGCTCTTTCACGGCTTATGAGCGCGGCAGCACCCGCTCTTCAAACGGTCAAATTCTTAGGGATACGAAACGAATGACATCAATTTTCAGTTTTTTCACTCTACTCCTTTTCTGAAACTGGAGTGAGCGAAGACAAAACATTTTGCACCTGCGAAGAAACGCATCGACTGCACAGAAAATTGCACTTTTCGAGTTGTCGGATCGGGATTATTGTTCAAAACTGAATGCTTGAGACGCATGAACTTCATCGGAGTTTGCTGCAGTAAAATAAAAGATATAAGTTCGCTGAGTCGCACATAACATTCACGGATTCATAAATTAATGAAGTAACGTGAAAACCAATTTTTACTGGCTTTCCCTTTTTTCAACCCACCCTTCTCTACGGGACACACTAACGTAAGGCCTAGGCCTAACCAACAGACTGCCTTCAGCTCACCCCAAAAACAGCGCCGTACCAAGGAAATTTGGCGCCCGGTGCGAGATACAATCCAGCGCCGCCCCCCCCCCTCTATACCTCTCCAGTTTCCCCAGCACCAACAAAACATTACGTAATAATTTGTTTAAATTAGTTAAATTCAGGATAATTTGTAATTTTAAAAATAGTTTTATTTATATTTTGCAATAATTCGGCAGCCAATCAATACTTCCTTCAGTTCGGCGCCCTGTGCGGGGTCACCGCTCGCACGCCCCTTGTTACGGCATGGCCCCGAAAACTACGTCTTTTCTTTCAAAAGAAACTCGATTCTTGACTTACGGGGCCAATCGGGCCTTTAAGGATGAATCCGTGGGCTTCGAGACATCTCGTTGAGGACGTGGAGCGTTAGGCCTATCTGGAGTTCCTCGAACCATCTCGAATGGGTCCGAGGAGGGAATGCCTCCGGGAAGCATGGAATTCATGGCGCGCGCCATCTTGGTAATTCAGGGATGTCCGGATGAGATTTCTCCATATCCCACCACATCGATCGATCACTGCTAGCCATCGCTTCATTCTCAGTTCAACAATTTTTCATTTGACTCAGACACACGTGCATGGGACGTTCCTCATGTATGAGTGTCGAAGTCAAGTGAAAAAGTGCCTAACTGAAAAGAAAAACACTGTTTATTTCACTTTTCATGGCAAAATGCTGCATCGAAAGCAAAAAGAAAGGGACTTTCGTCATCTACAAGTCAATATCTTTCTTCCTTAAGCCTCCCAGGAGTGGCTATCCAGGGGGGGGAGGGAACCGGAATGAAATTCTCATCTTCAAAATACAAGTCATGGAGGAGTTTCTGATGTGCACACGCTAGGTGGAGGATGGACAGCGACATCTATATTGCGACCTTGTCGATGAATGGGATTCGAGTGGAGTGGAAGCCTCTAGTTACACTTTATACTCTTTGGTTAAACGTAACGAAAGAACCGAGGTAGGAAAAAAAAAGAAATCTGGACGGGTCAAAACAATCCTCGCCTGACTGTGTCTGTCAGTACTATTGCTGCCAAACCGCTTGCAAATTTTCGCAGATTCAAATTTGTCCGAGGGTTTATCCTTCTCAAGGGTCAAGACCTGCTCCGACGCACCGTTTTCCTCATCTTAAATCCTAATCTAATTTAATTTGCGATGAAAGATTAAAGATGCCAATCGCATCTTCGACATCACGAGTAGCATTGGGTTGACATGCAATATTAAAAAAGAAGGTTACGAAATAGTTGAGTTGCAGCCCTGCCATCTGATATTTACTCGGACAAACAAGGTTTTTCAGGATAGAAGAGAGATGGCGAGCGAGTCGCCGTCCTCCTTCAATGTAAGCGCGAGACCGGATGGAGGAAGATCCCGCGGGAGTTGAAAGCGGTCGCCTTTAGGCCTAGGAAGTACGCGGTGCCGTGGTGTGGGCTAAGGTGTCGTACGAGGTGTTAAGTGCTAAGTCTTGTTAAGTGGCTGCGTTTCCTGGCGCGGTCGCTGTTCTGAAAGCGGGGAAATGGTGGATTGCAAGTGAAAATAGGTTTTCGACTGAGACCGTGCAATTTACGTTCGAAGGACTGACTTCATCGTTCTAGGTAGCAAACACTCGGCATGTGCAGGAGAAAAGCGTGCCCACTGATGCAGTTTGAGTGCCCGTAATGCAAAGTCAGCCTGACCTCGTCATCGATGGTCGTTATGCATCATCATCGATGGTCGTTAAGCGTCATCATCGTCAGTCGTTAAGCGTAATCATCATTAGTCGGATCGTTGCCGTGGTCCCTGGCCGATTCGCAGGATCTCGGCGTTTGCGATTCCGAATCTGCTCGCAAGCCCAATGGTCCCCGTCGGGTACGCTTTTCGATGACTCACTCGCCCCCTGCATATCCGCCAAGCTTAATCTCACGGTTTTTCTTAAAAAAAAAAGAGAATTTTTACTCGTTTGAAAACGTAACCATTGTCTTCGCGGAGCTCGCAAAGAAAAAACCGGCAAAGAATGAATCTAATCAGTCGACGACCTCGAATAACGACCCCCAATAATGGCCTCCAATAACGATCTCCAATAACGTCCCATCTCGACGTGTGGTAATTCCTCATTTTCAATTTCACTCTGCAAGAATTACGAAGGGAATTCCGGGAAAGCTTTTTGCCGCGATCTCCGAGGACGATCGCGATGGACCATGGATGATTGCAGGCATTCATCCGCCATCTCCCCGAATAAGGGGTCGTTTCAGTGTTGCTACGAGGAAACACAGATAGCGCTCATCGCAAGTTTGATTTTTTTTTCCCTGCTTGCAAAGGACTGGAATCATGGCTGTTGGTGGCAGCCGAATTCCTTATCACTGACTGATCTCTGATGCGTGGGTTTGTATGTGGGTAACAAATCCTTTTTGTTTGTTTGTTTTTTTTCTTCTTCCGTGAGTTGCTCTAGCTGGGCCGGCACGAGTCATTTCGGGACTTTTTTTCTGGCCTGTTGGATTCTTCCATTTCGAAATTTTCGGATACCGTTTCCGGTGACGAGGTCGCGTCCGAAGCGGTCGTTCCGTTGTTTTCCGGTGAAGAGGGGAATCGGAAAGATGGCGATGCGTCGAGAGGGTTTCATGGTTCCTTCGAGAAGGAGATTCCAGAACGAAGAAGGCGGCCTCGAGGGCGAAAAAAGGAAACTCGAATCTTTTTTCGGCGTTTCGGCATATATGCCGAAACGCCGGTATCCTTCGGCCGCAATCCCAGCCAGAAATGTTTTATGGAAGAGGTTCTGTCGGCGGGTTACGGAAGGGGGGGGGGGGGGGGAAGGGGGGCGTTACCGCGTAGGCGTTTCTGTAGGCAGCCCCCTACGAATTAGATGAATGTGTACACAAACACGAGATACGGTAGCTTGTACAGATACTGAATAATGGAAATGCATGCACGTCCATCACGCACTTTCTTGTCGAAAGGACTATCTCTCTGTCGCCGCCTGTCTCGTCTCGACGTCCGATCCATTCACCGGAAGGTGGACACTCCCGTTCGACGTTTCGCTTCTTCCCGTTCCGACGCCGAAATCGCTTCCATCGCGCCTGTCTCACCTTCTGGATGCACTTGATTTATTTACTCTCACGGAAATGGTAAACGGGATTGCCTACAGTTAATACAGGCAAAGCTAATTTTGAGACTTTCTTTTATGACACCCAGATTTTCGCCGCTTTGGTGCTGACTGATTACTTAATAAATCAAATTCGCAGTTTCACTACATTGCTGAATGCCTTCGAGAGGTGGAAATTTCTCATCGAATTGCCCAAATTTAAAAATAATAATAATAAATAAAATACATCCATTCTGAAAGTAAATTACCTTATTATTAAATTACATTCCTAAAATTTAAGTTTTATTCTATACATTGAATTCTATGTGTATCATGATTTTCACTACTCTACGGTAGGAAATTGCTGTAACCATCAGAATGCCTATGCGGAAGAGACTGCCCCCCTCCCCTCCCCCCCCGGTAAGAAATTGCACAAAATTGAAGAAAAGTTCCGAGACGGAATTGATAAAATATAAAAGAGGTGAAATACGGAAGATGTAATTGATTTAATCCCCTTTTCCTTCTAATTTCCTGTGAGGGAGCTCGTCACGTGAAGCCTCTTAGTACAAACCGCTTCTTATCCACCAACACCTTACACACGAGACGTTTTGTCATCAGTTTATTGCCAATTCCAGGGCTTTCTAGATTTGTCATTGAGAATGGAGAGCACACCCCCGTCCGCTTAATTTTCGAAATGGAATGGGCATATGTCATCGAAAGAGTCACACTGAAAACCCTCTCTCACGAACCGCCCCAAAGTTAGAATTAAATTTTTGCTCTGTTGCTTTCTGCACTAGCTTGAAGATGGCTGAACTGAATTAGGCGAGACACATTCAGGAACCTCCAAATGTAAGCCCAAACTGACGGCATCTGCACAAATGTGGCAGTTTGAATTCGAAGATGCAGGTACGGCCACACTCCTGCGGGAGCGGGAGCACACGGCCGTACCGGTACGGGTTAAGAATGGGTTAAGATTCGCTACTTCTTAACTTCGATGGGTTAAGAAGGGGCGAGTCACTCGTCAAACGCGAAAACCGCGACCCCAGTTCCTCTATACGAGCCCCCCCATGGCTCGCATCGATTCTGCGGGTTTCTGAGTCAGCCTTGCAACTCGTGATGCGAGGTGGCCAAATCCTCTGGCCCAGAAAACTGCTTAATGAATGTCTGTGAAACCATCAGCTTCTGTTTTCTCGAGCAAATCCAGATTCGAAGCGATGAACTCCCATGCCGCCCCTGTTACTTCCGTCCTCAGCACTGAAATGGTAATGAGATCATCCCATTTAGCCATCAACAAAAAAGGTATTGTTGGTTACGAGTTAATTATCCCTGCATCCAGTACGACAATCTTAACATCCACTTAGAACGATTTTAGTTAGATGAAAAATCTATTAAGAAAGAAATTGGATAGAAGGATCCGATGAGACAAACTTCTGACTTGAACAATATCCAAGGAATGAATATTCTTCGTCTTACTCTTTCCTCTCTTTCGGGCCGGTTGGAGGAGGCATATCCTCTGTACCTCCTCAAAATCCGACGTCCGGATTGGATGCGAACCAAGGACACCTTGTCAACCATTGGCTAATTTGGAGGTCGGTTTCGGTTTCTTAAAAACTTCAATGACCTTGGGGTCCCGTGAATGTGAATTCATCGAAAAATCCAGCACATTTCGTCGAAAGTCTCTCGCGAAGGATCCATAAATTATTCGAGATCTGATTCGCACTAGCAGGATTTTCTCATCTGAAATGTTTCCTAAATTTTCTTCAAATTAAGCAGTCACCCTCATTCTAACTCTAGTTGTGTTTGAAGGAATCAGTGAGGCGATGAGCTGGAGGAATAGCGACCTCTCGGTGGCAGAAAGCCGCTGACCTCTGACAATCGCTGACCGCTCATGTGCTAATACCCTGATGGTCTTTCAGTAGGAGAGTGTTGTGTGCAGATGGGCTCTTCGTGTGCGAGCTCTCGCAAAGCCTTTGTGTACCAGGAGTAAACAATATCGATCGAGACTGATTCACATCGTTTTCTTGGTACACAACTGACTTCAGGAAAAGCGACTGCTGCTCTGAGGAGGACCTTTATATTTCACCAAGACAAAAGGCTTCGAAATGAACCGACTCATTTCGTTGCATATTCGCAACATAACTTTTCGCGCAAAATCACGGCAATTTGGAACGGAACTGAGATGAGTTGTCTCTTCGGCTCGAAAAGCAAGTTAAGTCAGCTGCAGAGCCGCGGTAAACCATACACGTTTCGATCCTGTGTTATATCGGTGGGGGAAGATAGGGGGGAGGGGGGAAAGGGGGAAGGGGGCGTACGAATGAGGTTTAACGATTCGCTTTCGGAAAAGAACCTTGCGCTCTACGAAATAGCAGCACTTGTTGCCAGGCAGCTTATAATATGTTGGAGGTCGATAGATCGACGAATTCGTGCAGTGTCGACCGGTGCTCGCACGGGTGCTTCAGTCTCTTCGGGGTCGGAGCTTGAACTTGTCGTACTTGGACCGGGGCGACAATGCTGGTGAAAGTGGTGGCGTTCTTGGCGTTCGTTCTCGTCGGAGGGACCTGTAAGACCGCATATTGCATTTATATACATTTACAATTGTCATTATTATTCTTGTTCGAAAACTCCTCTCGAGCTCATCGGATCCGAGAGAAGCAGGGATCGATTGAAAGCTCCCATTTTCGCGGCCTAGCAACTAAAACCAGACACGTCACATACAATTGATCGGGATCGGGAGTTTGTTTACTCGTTACTAAACGACGTCACACTTCACCGCTTGACTTAATTTCTCCCGCTTCCATACTTATGCAGATACATCTCTCCCATCCTGATGGGAACAGGAAAAGTGAGACAATAATTTTCTATGATCGACAGATGGGATTCGGTGTTTCCTCTGTGGGATCTCCAGCTCCCCAAGCTGCACCCAAAAGAGCTACCAAAACATCACCTGCTCCTCCAGCATCTCCAGCTGCATGGTCCTCTACACCACCAACAAGAAAGGTAAAATCATCCTGATTCCTTTCGATTTCGGTTGCACTTACCTTAAAACTACCTTTGAAGGGTCGTAGAATTGCGTCTTACATCAATTTTAAAATCAATTTGAGAAAATTTGAGAAATGTAACCCTCTTAATGAGAGGGAGAGCATTGGATAACCTTAATTAAAAACAGAATATTTTTTTTGCAAAATTTTAATCCATAATAAAAATCGGCTTCGATCCAAAATACAACCCGAGCACCGATCTAACGATTGCAGACGAAGTGCAGCTGCGAGGTTGCGGCCTGGTGAACAAGAACGTGACGAACAAGGACTGCCTGTCGAACACCCAGGATTCCTCGTCGGGGAAGAGCGGCTACGGGTGCTTCTGCACGGCCGACCTGTGCAACGCGGCGGGGGCACCCGTCCCGGCGGGGCTGGCGCTCGGGGTCTCCCTTGTCGCCTTCGTCGTCTCGAGGAAAATCGCTTCGTGATGAATTTATTTCCTGGGATTTGAGTACTCTGTGATATCCCATCACCATCCCCACCCTTTCCACCCTCCCCCCCCTTCCGTTTTTTTTTGTTTGTTGCACCAACTGCCTGCTGTGTTGAAAATTCACGATTTGCCACGTGTCAGGGACAGACCTCGGCTGGGATTCGAGTTACGTCATTTGGAACGAAGACAAGAAACTTTATTTTTTTAATTTTATTTTTGTGCTGAAACCCGTCCTTCGAGAATTGCAACGTTGAGATATTTCCTCATCTCGAAACAAATTCTCTCGATTCTCAAAAACTTTTTTTTTCACAGTTCAGCACGATCTGAGAAAGTGCCATCTTTTGAAAGCATAAGCATATCTCCCAGCAAGACCGTTTCACAGCCTAAATTTAAAGTCCCGCATCATACAATAAATTTCCGTAGTAACACGTTACCTGAAATGGGTGCAAACGAGACTGATATAATTTCCATTCCCCATTCAAGTCCTTGTCACGTGGAACCCTTTTTCATCGCCATATTCAATAGGTGTATAGAACTCTGGATGTGACTGAAGGACACCTGCATGCAAGCAATAAACGGGAATATAAGTAATAAACATGTCTTTTTTTTTCTTGTATCCGGTGGATACACGAGACAACGGACTTTTTCAATAACAGTACACAAAGAGGACGGGGTGTCGGCTTCGCACGTGCACCGCGACCGATGCGACCCTCCCTCCTGCAGGAGGGAGTATCGCAGTCCCTCCGGCAGCGAAACCAAGCACGACCCTGTTGCCACAGGGCGGCTCACGGGATGCCGAAGTTCATGCCTGGAGCTGCTTGCATTGTTTTTTTTTTAGAGTTGTGGAAGTTGGGGGAATAAACCTTACCCGCAATTCGTGTGGGATGTGAAGTGTTTGATGAATAAACTACAATTTCACCCTTGCAACAGAAACTCTTTCTGAAACTAGCGGGCATGCTGGAAAAAATAACCCAGTTCCAATGATAACAGAAAAAAAGGAAAACATGAAGCATTCCATTCTCCCGACTGTATGGGGTAAAACGGGCCGTCGAGAGGTTGATATGAGCAAACAGTAAAAACTGACAAGTTTGCAATTCAAATTGGTCTCCAGTCCGACGGAAAACATTTGCATTCCACGCAGGTAAAGGAAGCAATATTTTCTCAGACAACTTATACTCCCAGTAGAATAAACAATCCTCGGCGATCCCAGCTTATTAATGAAACATGTGAAACAGGCCGAGCACGTTTTCTAAGTCTCGTGTGTGTCTGTCGGAGTGTTCATCAACATTTGTTGGCATTTGGAGTACGAATAAACATAAATAACAATTCCTCGCAAATATTAAAAATGAAAGACTGGTACCGTGGTGGTATTTGAAATGCAGAAAATGTAAACACGGGTCATGAAAAATGTTCTTGGGACGAAGGAGGCGAATAACGTTGGCAATTCATCCGATTTTTTGCGTCTTTCTCACCGAGCGATGGAACACGAACAGATGCCCAGATTCTTTGCTTGGTCGAATCTCGTAGTATGAAGTCATTTGTCATTTCCTGAATAATGGAAAAGGGGAAAGGAGAGTTTTCACCTGCGAATGGACTCTTCACGGTGTGACGGCCCGCGTCGTTCCCATCGATTTTTGCTTTTGTGAGGGTTCCTAACGACTCGGGTCGCTCGTTATAACTTGCATCGATTGTCGAGGTCTTCATTTGTCAGCACCGTTGTAAGAAATATTTTTCCGAGTATAAATTTCTCTCTCCAATTTTTTGCATCCTCGAAATGCAGTACACCTCATAATTAAAAGAGAAAAATATGCACTGACAGCAAAATAATGTGATGGTAACACAAGGCTGAAAAATATCAAGTGAGGAAATTATAATTTGATTTTTAATAATCCCAATGCGCGTTGTCATACGTGGTACTAATGAAACGAATTGAATGTTCTCGCATTCAAGAAAATATGATATTTCTATGGTCCTCCAGCATCAGATATGAGGTCTTCTTTCAAACGGGCAATAGAAACGGCTAGTATCTGGTATGCAATTAAATACTGCGAAGCAAACAACGTTGGACCGACGGAATCGGAGGTCAAGGATAAAATTGGATACCAGCGAGAATAACCTAATACTATGCAAGGCTAATGCAGCAATGACCCGAAATTGCCATGTACGAGGTAATGGGGACCGAATCGGGCACTCAATAAGCAACGAGAGGGTATCGATTGCCGAGAAGGTAGAATCGATGAGTGACATGATTCATGCAACAAGGTCGGCTGTGATGCCGGTTCCGAGAAGGACTTCTAGGGGCGGGGAGAAGCGAGAATGTGGGGGAGGTTGGATGACTCAACTCACAAGTTTCTGCAACCGGGCCGGGTGCAGAAACCGGGCCTGTATTTTCTGTTTCTCTGTATTATTTATTTATTTTTCTGGGATTGACAAGGTTTCTTCGAATAAATGTCGATGGGTTGGTCATGTGCTTAAGAGCAGGATCCGTGGATTAAAATATGCTGATTGGCATATGGTACATAATAGTGAGGATTTAAAAATGTTCTAATTATGTGGTACCATCGAGTCGAATCATGCAAGGTGTCGTAGAACAGAACCTTTATTTAAAATGCTTGAACTGATGGGGACCAGCTGAAAGAACTTCGGCATAGAATCTCAGCTGGTGCAGACAAAACTTGCGGGACCGTTTCGGCGACACGAACATGAAAGCATTCCAAAATTCAAGAATTCATGCGAGTGTCGTTTAATAGCCGTCTTCCAAGACGAAGGCTGAGGAAATGGCTGGTAAACGGTCATTTTCCCGCTGAAACTTCTTTGTTCGGCTCTTCGTTGTCTAAATTAACGCCATCGTTGGTTTCATGCGCTAGTATTTGAACGGGATGCATGCGGAAACAAAGAAAGCATTCCGTGAGATCAGTAGCGTGCTCAGGAAAATCCGAATGAGGGGGGTTGTCATATGAAACGTTGATGACCCACCCTAATGGGGGGGGGGGGGTTAACAGGTGAAAAAACTGATAACCCACCCTGTATTTGTAGCCAAATTGAAAAATTTGTGAGAATCGAACCTGAAAAATTGACCCCAAGAGGGGAGTTATGACCCCCAAGCCCCCCCCCCCCACCCCCCTTGGGCACGCCACTGCGTGAGATGCACAATTGCGAAAACCTTTCTGCTGGTGAAAGGCGGAGATAAATCTTCCGCCGTTTCTTCGAGTTGATCTCGAATCCCACATTTTCGAACGAAAAGCATAACGAGGAGTTCGTTAGCGTCCCTCAGCAGGCTTTTTCTTTCTCCCATGTCCATGACTTGTCGATCACACGGGCATTACGTGTTTAGAGGCCATCCATAATTTATGGGAAGCTGTGGACCTGTCGCATCGATGAGAACTCGGGACGCATTTCCCCAATGAAACGGCTCCGTCGAAAGCTGAAAGCTTTCGATGGGAACTTCGCCTTCATTCGTCACCGCATTCATCGCCGAGCCACTTCGTGGATTGACCGACCATCTACCGACAGCTTCTCGATGACGTTCTCCATTTTCGGATGGACAAGATGATGTTCCGACATTTGCTGATTAGTTTATCTTTTTGAATTGCTTCACTTACCTATTTGTACAAAGAGGAATTATCAGGGGGAAAAGACGCTTAGAAAATGAAAAGTCAAAGCTCCATGCCTAGTTTAACGTTATTTGAGAGGCGTTCTCTTGCAATGTGATTTGTTGAGGGGGAAAACTACATAAAAATAAGCAACGTAGGCCTATGAATCATAGCTTGCTTTAGGGAGGCCTACGCCTGCCACTTCCTTTTCATCCATGCTGAAATGTTTCTTATGGCAGACGAGCATAATGCATGAATTGGAATGGTCTCGTGTGAGACCATGGGCAGATCCTACCGTGGAAGCCCAAAGAACTGCTTTACGTGATTCCATCGGTTCGGAGAACACAGGCGACAGAGAACCCTCGAAAGAGCTTTTGGTTTTGTGAATAGGCGTATTTGTAGTCGTCAGGACCAGATTAGCGAATAGGCGATAAAGGAGTTCGGCAGCTGGATATGAAACGAAAAGTTGTTATTATTGCTATCATGGCTGGATCAAGAGGGGGAATATGGATAGGGGAATGGAAAATGCGAATTAATTAAACCGAGGGGATGACTCACTGCGAAGTGCTTGAGGGAATTACAATAAAAATGTCAGCCATTATGGAGTTGCACTGAGGCCACTTACCAACTTAAATTGCGCAAACCGCAGGTGCGGCTCAGATTGAGACAGGAATTCCTTACTTGCAGAGTGGTGAACACTTGGAATGCGTTAGATGACGAAGTAATGGCTGCCCCGCGCTGTGACTATCTTTAATAGAGTGGATGCTTTCATGGACAGGCTAAAAGGTGGGGGGCAATGTTGACGTTAGGTTACTAGACAGTAAGCAACTAGGATACGCAAAAAAAATCCGAAAAATGCAAAAATTTTTAGTTTTAAGAGGATTAGGCCTACCCTCAAATTAAGGAACGCTCGACCTCGACACGTGATATCGAAATGGGCGAAATCGCCTCTTGATATCACTATCTTGAATCTTGAATCTTGAAAAACGTGCTTGAGAAATCTGTTTCCATTCCTATGTCCGGATTTACCTGCTCAATCTGATCACGACCTAACCTAACCGAATTGATGTATCCCCTTCCCTGCGTCCGTAGCCTTTCGTTAGAACCACGTGCCAGGCACGAGGCCGATAAACTAGCGCCATGCTTCATATTATATTCATTTATGCCTCGTAGTTCCAGAAAACATTGCTCGCTTTTCATATAAAATGCTCAGCTAGAAATTGAGATGAATCTATTCCACAGCACTTAAAATATGTGATATAAATTACATATTAACTTACGCCGCATTTTGTTCCCACGATATGGTTTGCAATGGAAAAGACAATCACAAAAGCCCTTACATTACCTCCCCCAACTCATGGCAACCCTGGTGCGTGCTCTCCGATTGGTTGTTTTGATTACCAACCGTCCAGTCCGCGGTCTTTGCATCAGTCACTCCCTGGTCCCGTTCTTGGTGTGGCTGGCATTTCCTCCTGCATGTTTTTCGTTTTCATCTCGTCTTCGTCATCAGTTTCCGTCTCTGAGTGGAAAATTTGCTAAGAACAGCGACAGGGCGACCGCTAACCGCCTGTATCCAAGATGCGTCCCGTGTAAGTAAAGACTAGGCCAATCATTGATCTCGATCTTATTCATAGTTTGGACTAAGCTGTGGAGACCTGCTATATACGTACCCAGGGAACATAGCTTTAGGCCTAAATACTTACATCACAAACTTTTGCGGACTAGTCGAGAAACTTTAAAGGCGAGTGAGCAGGCCTATTCCTTAAATTTAAGGTTTTCATGTAGTGACCATATCCAAGGCAGCATAGCTACTATTCTATATCCCTACCTTTCGCCCTTTGAGAGTGACAGCTTGCTGGCCTAATAGTTTATAGGCTAAAGGCTCAGACATGAACATTGTTAGTTCTGTCAACACCCACCCTCATTTTTATTGGTTTCATTCACTTAAACTAATAAAAAAAAACCAACTGTTACTTCCCAAACACAAAATGTGATCCTGTCAGTAATAAAATCATTACCAGTCTGGAATGAATCTTTGTCACAATGATTGCATTGTCTCAGTTGGATAAATCCTGGCAGGTGTAATATGAAGGATACGAAGTAGATGCATTGACTAAATTGACCACCAATAAATCTCAATTATCCTTGCTCCAATTATAAAACAGTTACTTTCTGAGCAGGGCAAGCTGGATTCTACTGAGATGATGTGAACTGCAAAGGTACAAGGGGCATCATAGTGCCACATGTTGCCTATCCTTACAGCCTAAATTTGTGGTCCATCAGTGCAGCAAGGCTTGTTCTAAAAGGGCATTATGTTTATCTGAGTCACCCCAGTTTATGAAGCTGGCAATTCATTTATCAACCTGTATCCAGTTTGTTTTTTTTGCAAGCTGTTAGACATTCTCATTTGGCAGTGAATGCTTTCTAAAAGGTGAAAGTAAAAATACTTAATTATCTTCCTTTTCCTTACCAGAAAATGAAGCATAAGGAACTGGCAAATCAAAGGGATATCTCATACTTCATGTATATGGGGACATAGGTTTCATTGCACCCTCTATGCAGGGTTTTCTTCTGGAGTTGTTTACTTATTCATTCTCTGATGGGAATGATGATACTATTGAGATGTAGCACTTTAAGCACCATTGGAAGTCTCTATTGGTGCTTAAGTGTTCTACTGAATGCACTAAAGAAGTTGAAGCAGTGACTATGTAATATGATGATTATGCTTACCAATGATGTTTTTTGAATTTTGAGTTCATCTGCTTAAATAAACTTGTTTAAAATCATCCATCTTAAATCCTTCCCGGAGAACTGAATTAAATTTATTGAATCATATGAAGGAGTAATGTGGCCCTTCTTTGACATTAATTTGTTAACATATTGACCACCACGGCAATGCTGGCCTATTGATTTTCCCATTCAGTGAGGTGTGCCAGTGCACCTTGTAGCAGTCAACTTGTTAAAAGCCCTATCAGAAGATCTTTTCCTATACACATTAATGTATGGATGAAAGCATTGGTGCCAGAAATTATCAAGAAAAGAGATAGCATGCATCCCAGAATTTCTGGTGAATTTCCTGAAGTAGTCTTATGTTGTTTACAAGGGTCACTGATCTTGAGAGAGAGAGAGAAGGACCACAGGAAGGTAAGATAGTTTAAATGCAAGGTTTAGGTTCTATGATGGTCTTGACCCAGCATACCTTCAAGATAGGTCTTGATCTTGTCATTGTGGCATAGCATATGCCTATTATGATTCATGAACTAAGTGTTTTATGGTATGTGTTTTCTTTTTCTATAATGCAGCAGAGTGAATCAAACTCCTTCACGAAAGAGGACTACACCTTTGATGAAGGCTCTGGGTGCATCTGCAAAGGTACCAGTATCTGCAAAGAAGCTGAATTATGTCAAAGTGGAAGGAGCCAAAGATCCGGTGGAAGTCTATTGTCGTATCAGGCCCCTTGCAAATGAAAATCACTCATCCTGTGTGGTTCAGGTGGATGATACCACCATCCAGCTCCTTCATCCTGATGTCCATAACAATAAGGCAATTCAGTGTTCATTCAGGTTTGTGTGATCATCTTCCTTGAACCCTTTTCTTCCTTACAAGTTAATTGAGACTTTGAAGTTTGTGTGGTTTTATTTTCAGGCATATTTTCAATGAGAATACTGCTCAGAAGGAGGTGTTTGATCGTGTTGGTCTTCCTCTTGTGGATGACTTATTAAATGGGAAAAATGGACTGTTGTTCATGTATGGTGTCACTGGGTCTGGGAAGACCTATACAATGACAGGGACTGCAGAAGAAACAGGAGTTCTCCCACGTTGTCTTGATGTGATATTCAACAGTATTGACCAACGTCAAGTTCCAAAATACACATTCAAGCCAGATGGTAGCAATTGCTTCTTTATCCAGCCAGAAGATCAGGCTCAGATGGAGGCCATGGCTGAGGCACATCCTCGATCCAGTCGCAGGAAGAGGTTCTGTCTTCCACAAATCTCTTTTCTGTTTTTATCATTAACATCCTTTGAACGGTTATATATGTATATATTTTGCTTAAAATTTTCAGACAGGGGATGGAGGATCGTATTCCTGACTGCAGTGCCCTTGAGCTCCAAGATGGCTCTATGTTTGCAGTGTTTGTACAGTACGTGGAGATCTATAACAATATCATCTTTGATTTGCTCGATGACACCCCTATTGACCCCATCAAAAAGTAAGGATGAACCTAGATTCACTTTATTTCATATTTCTTTTCTATGCAACCTTGACCAACATATCAAGGCGTAAGAAAAACTTGAAACATGTCCTTTTCTTTTAAATCAGAACCTTTCAGCAGAGACACCTGCGTGAAGATGCCTATCGAAATATATTTGTGGTTGGCGCCCGAGAAATGGAGGTGAAGAGTGTAGCAGAAGCTTTGGATGTACTGGAGAAGGGTCAGCGACGACGACGAGTGGCCCAGACATCCCTGAATGCAGAGAGTTCCCGCTCTCACTCCATCTTCACTATTCGTGTGGTCCAAATCCCTGTATCTGTTGACATCCCCGAAGATATGATTAACAGTGAGGACCTCCTGACCATTTCACAATTTTCTCTTGTTGACCTTGCTGGATCTGAGCGCCACAAACGGACTGGCAACAGAGGAAATCTCCTGAAAGAAGCTTGTGAGTCTTTATTCTCCTCATCAATTATGAAGTGTCTTGTTGAATTTCTTAATTTTTTATTAAATTTGTTCATGTCACTGATTCCATATTCTTTGCAAGTTCATCTCTCAGCCTTGAATTTTACATAGGATTTATTTCAGAATTTCCCACGTTTTAATTCTAGAGCTATGTCTCAAGGAATACTTAAACTTTCAACTGAATCCTTAGGTTTTGGAAATGGCCAAGTTAATGGTGCTAATATCTCTGGGTATCCTTCGTTATGTGATCACTGTACACACTGTGGGAACACTCCCCCACAATGTAGACTTCCTCTTGTGTACACTACTCCCCTGAATTCACCATGCGTCAGGTAGGCCTACTTATCCCCAATGTTTGATGTCATGTCCGGTTGAGATATCCCGCCATTCTGACATCTCAGGATGCATGTGGGAAACATCAGAAAAACTGGACTCAAGATTTCATGATCTTGAGAAGCTGCTCGAAATTGAGATTCTTGTGGACGGCAACACTCAACCAACTGAACCTTGCTAACTGTCATGCTGTTGGAGAATCGCTTCTTCGAGCTGCTTCTCTTGAGCGATAGATCCCAAGTCCGTTTTTCCTGATGCTGCTCCCATGTGCACCCTGAGATAAACTCAATGATGTCCAGGATGACAGGCAGAAAACTAATCGGCAGGTGAAGCTGCTGCTCTCCAAGGCTTTAGCGGAATTCCTGGGCCTGCCTGAATGGTGACTACTTTACCACAGCATGCGCGGTAGAGAGAATTTCTGTGTGAAGGAGCTTTTATTCCCATCGACCTGCTTACAAAGAAGAACTTGAAGTTCCAACAGTGATGGGTGCGCCGTGTCATACATGTAGCTCAACGAGCGCGTAATGACACATGTACGACATAGTCTGCATTGAACAGGGGAGTGTACACAAGACAAAGTTGGCCTTGCCTTGGTGTTCACAAAACGTAGGATCCCCATATCTCCTATAGATCCAGAGGTACTTTGAGAATGAGTTGCATAAAATTCAAGCAAAATGGGTAAGTAGGGCAGCTGGGATGATTGGGTTATGAGAGAGCGAGAAGTTCTATATGTGAAAGTTAATGTTTTTTGCTGTTTCTAGTGCCATAGTCATGGTTTTGTGGGGGGGGGGGAATTTCCATGACTTCTTAGTTAGGGAGGTGCCAAATGCATACTGACCAGAGTAGCGGGGCTGAACTGTTTCTGTTTCACAACTGGGCTGTGTTCTGGCTGTTTCTAAGATGAATGGAAAACTGGAGTTATTTTCACAATCCATCTGAATGCCCAGTTGATGTATACACAACCTGGGAATGAGTATTATATATTAGTTGATATCCACCATACTATACATAATGGATGTATTCAGTTTCTTGCATGATTGTGGAGACTACAGGAATGTGATCAGATGCATTGTTCTATTCCTTTTTTCATTTCCTTTAATGGGGGATATGTTTTCACATTGTTCTGTCCTGTACAGTATTGGGATTAAAGAAGGAGATATCAAATATTCCAGCCTTCCCTTCTTTTCTCCCTTTCTATGTGCCCCATTCATTTCATATGTTCAATAACTTTATGTATTGTTGAGATGTCTGGGTTTTTTCTTCTGGGTTCTTAAGGACTTTGATGCATGCCAGTTATTGGGGAAAATACATGACTCATTAATGAGAAATAGATAATCAGTCCTTTCTTGAAAGTGTCCTCTGAGTGGTTGTAATTTCAGGTTTTTTCCAATTTTTTTTTCTCTCAATACAGCTAACATCAATAATTCCCTATTGACACTTCGGACCTGCCTGGAGGTGATGCGAGAGAACCAGCAGATGGGGTCAAGTCGTGTCATCCCATATCGTGACTCAAAAGTCACTCACATGTTCAAGACTTATTTTGAGGGTGGTGGGCGTGTTCGCATGCTAGTATGCATCAGTCCTGAGGCCCCCAACTACGATGAAAATATTGTATGTGTATCCACCAGCATATTCTATTGACTAGCTCTCAACCCTAAATCTTATATGCTATGAATGATTTTTTTTTAATCTCTACAGCAAGTGCTTCGCTTTGCTGAAATGACCCAGGAGATTCAAGTTGTGAGGGCTACTGAAATAAAGGTCACTGTTCAGAACCCTGCCAAAGTTCCTGTAAGTTCTTACTATTTTGTCAAGGATTTTCACTTTTCTTGTATATTATTTTAGGTAGTATGAATCTGTTAGAAGTTTTTCAGCAGAAGGTAGATATTAAATTTGAGAACTTGTTAACTACACTGCATGGTGTGCCAGATATGACATGCTCTGCTTTGCATTGAAATGCATTACAATACAGTTGAAAAGCCAAAATTAAGGGATAAATTTTTCCTTATTTTTCTTAACAACATGAAAAATTATCAATAATGTTTTTGGTATATTAAATTAAAGCATACATTGTAACTGAATACATTCTTGTAGCAGCTAAGAAAAAAAAATTGCAGGCTTCCTCAAATCCCTAAACAATAAATGTAGCCCAAAGATGTTGTTTGGAATAAGTGAGACAGCATTAACATGAAACACAATGCTTAAGAACTGCCATTGAAGGGGCTTGAAGTATTACCTCTGCCAATTATTCCAGACAATAATGGGGAATAGCCACAGAGAAGAGACAACATTGGCAGCCTGCCAACCTTGCTGGATTTCAGAAACCTTTTCAGGTGGTCTTCTGTATGGTTGTAAAAATCTTGTGCATCAGATCCATGGGTAATTGTATCTGTTCAGTAGCACCCAGTCCACTGAATGACCAAAAGAAACTTGTGAACTTTTGCTAGAATTTTCCAGCAAATATGCTACCCAGTTCTGTTGTCTTATTTAATTATATGAATGAGTTAGATGGGATAGAATGAACACCTATCCTGAGTCAAAGCAAAAAAGAGCTAATGCCATAAGATCCATCCAGAGCACATGTTTAGTGTCCCATTTAAGTGAGCCAGAAAATCCACTTGTTACGGCAAGCCCAAAATATCCTATTTATATTGCATTTCAGAATATATTTCATTTTTAACTTGGTACATATGTCTTTAAATTCTTTTAGCTATGTTCAGGAAAATGAAGAGGAAAGAAATTGATTTAAGCATATCATAAATTAGGGATTCATTGATATTGATACTGGGTATGAATTATCAGCAGTTTCTTTTTAAGGATCTGTGAAGATTGGTATTGGCAGATTACAGATATGGCCTGTTGGTTTTTTTTATTTATTGAGGAATTGAGGAACTTTCCCTTCTGTCTCTATTTTTTATGCAATTGAATTCTATTAATATTGTGTTCAAGGAAAAAGTTACCTGCATTTTAACTCCATTTTCAGGTTATGCAATATGTTTAATTGCATGGATCATTACTCAAAATTTTCCAAAAGTTTATAGTTTGCATATATAACAAAAATTATTAAATTTATACCCACCCATTTGACTGACTGTCAGCTTGCATTCAAAGATATGTTTAGAAAAGTGTTACTGAGTGGCAGAGGTAAACCTGTTTGTGATGAGAAGTTTGTTGAGAATCTTTCTGATCATTTGAAGATTCAGAGATGATTTTTTCGCATATGACAGGATGTGGAGGAGTACCAAAGGATAGAGCAAACCATGGTGATCCCTAGCTATGACTTCACCAAACTCGTCCATCCAGTTGAATTACAAGATGATGAGGATGAGGAATTTTACCCTGTGCTTATGGATGACCTGGAAATGCGCAAGAAGTCTAGGCAGATGGCAATTGAGATCAGTCGCAATACTTGTAAGATTCTTTCTTCCTTCATTCTCTTATTAGATTTATCATAATATATTTGCAATGAGTGATGTGTTTTCTAGATGCAGAGGTGTATCGACAGACTCATGCAGCAGAGCAGCAGCTCCTGCAGTATTACCAGCGCATTGCTATGCTTGAAGAAGTTGTTGATGCCCGTGATAAGGAAATCGCAAAGCTCAGAGGTTAGATACAGTTTCTGATATATATCTACTAGTACATTTTATTTCTGTAGTGGGAAGAGCTTCTTAATGAGAAGATATATATGTTTCTTTTAAATTTGGAACTCATTGTCTTCTTGGCAGACAAGCTCTATGGATTGGAACGGGAAAAGGCAGGTCTCCAAAGGGAAGTATCTGGCTTGAGCCGCAATGTCAAAAGCAAGACGAGTGAATTGAAGGCAAAGGAGCATGCTCTGGGTGAGAAAGAGGCAGAATTGGAACGTCATCGTGTTGTTGCTGCTGCTAAGGCTGCCACTGAGGTCAAGAAACGAACTGTAGAGTATGAACAGCGCATCAAAAGTGCTCAGGCACAGTTTAAGGTACAGAAATCTGAATTCCTCTCTTCTCTTTTCAGCCTTCAGCTAGAAATAAAGTCCAAATAAGAACTTAGGAATTGGGCTGTGCTATACCATTTTTAAGTCTGGCATTTTACTTCATGTAGGTCCCTTGGCTTCAAGGGCATCCACTAGGTTATTATGAATTTGTTTGAGTGTATGCTCTACAGCACTCTGGCACAAAAATTATTCATTGCAATGCAGCTGAGTGGAGCTTGAGAAATAAAATCAAGACAAAAGTGAAAACATGGGGGAAAAAATTCATGTCTCATGCTGTATTTGGTTGATGTGATGTTATAATTTCTGTGGGTACTCAAATGAAAAGGCAGCCCTTATGTGCTGGTTATCAATTCTCAAGTGGTGCTATATAGATGCAGCCATATAAAAATTGGATAGCGTTTTTGCTCAGTGGACTAAATGTTATGTCCATTTGTGCTTACAAGAGGGAGTTTATTCTTTTTACTAGTCCATGTAATTGAGAAGTTGCTCTCATTGCATTACCTGTGAGGCTTGTGTTTCTTTTATGCAATGTCTTTTTATGATGTCCTTATACTATTTCCCCATTTATTAAGCTGCTGATTTTTTAAGAAAACCAGAGAAATTTTGTTGAACAATAGTGTAATGGATAAGTTTACATAATTATTGAATCAAATTTGGCTATTTACAGGTGCCACTGGATCATAATTCTCTATGTCCAGTCTTGACCAACATTTTATGCTCTGTGTTGGTCTCACCAATTCTGGTTGAACCTTTCCTTCCTTTCATATGCCAAGTCAAGAGATTGATTTAATAATTTTCATTCTTTAGTCAAATGGTACCCATCACCCAGCATTGCGAAGATTTTGAGAATGTGTGCATGCATGACAGTGTCATGGTTTTCAGTAGAGATGCAACGATAATTTATCGGTTATCGGTATCGGCCGATATTCGGTGAATCCGATATATCGGCCTAAAACGATATATGACCTGTCGATAACCGATATTGAAATTACACCTTAAGTATGTAAGTACCCAAACGCTAAGTATGTAAAGCGAATGATGAATATTCTCACCTTTTTCCCATTAGACAACATTTCACTTGACTCGAACACACGTTCATGGAACGTTCCTCATGCATGAGTGTCAAAGTCAAGTGAAAACACTGTAGAAGGTTGAAAATGCCTAAATGACCCATTTAAAAAAAAAAAAGTATTAGGCTGCTGAAAATATAAGCATTTTTTCCCTTTGCATTGGATTCCTCAACGTCCCACATCTAGAGATAGGAGCGCTCTGTGCTCGGGTACTCCCTTCCCAAGCACGCTGGCGCTTGAACTAGGAAATATACACTTGACTTGGCTAGGTTCGAGCCCAGGCCACCCTGTCACTGGACATAAACTCATTACCCAGTCACCCGAGAAAGAGATGAGAAGCGTCATCTACTTAACTTGGCCTAATGCCACTACCATAGCCTACTCCGTACTTTCTGTGAAAATAGACATCGCTTATATTAGCGCGAAGAACCCAGGCCTGGATGGATCCCGAAACCTTGGTACAAAAATCACTATACTATAGTCTGATTTCAACTCTTTCGTGCCCAGAGGTTCCATTTGGAACCACCGATTTTCAAGAATTTTATCATCTTTATATTCATGTTAAGACCGTGCCGATGGCCACATTTGACCGGTAGACTGATGGCGCATTTTGAACTCGTACCCATTGACCGGTGCCGGAGCTGATGATTTATACGCTATAGATTGCGAAAGCAACATGAAATAGCATATGAATTCAAATAGGCCTATTTGGAAGCCTTATGATACTAATCAATGAGTCTCCTGAAAACGATAGAGACCAATTTTAGACCTTTCCAGCCTGTCTGTCTGCGTCCGTCATGGTTACCAATTGCTGATATGAGGGCTTAACGGCACTACTCGCTAATGCACAGCATAAACGGAGATGCAGTATTTCACGGTCACGAACGACGCAACGTATATGGGGTATGTGTTAGCGACGTTATATCGAAATGACGTAAATCGAGGATTCCTCGCATAATCTGATCGTTAATTTTTCTGGGAGAGGACGGCAGGGAAAGGCTTTCAGCGAGACAGGCGGGCCGGCAACAAATCGCGCTCACACTCACATAGTTTTTTTTTTTGCATTTTGCCCTCTTTCAGGCTTCGGCATCGACAGCTTCCAACCTTACCGTAGCCATGGCGTCAATGGTGCAACACCAGAGGCGAATCTCTGTGGTTGTCAATACGTCGGTGCAAGCTGAAATACAGTAAGTCCTCGATTTACGTCATGGATGCGTTCCCGGAAAACACGACGTAAAACGAAACCTATTTTCCCATGGACTAAATTATATACAGGAAGTCCTCGATTTACGACGTCATTTCGGAACGACGCAACGTATATGGGGTATGTGTTAGCGACGTTATATCGAAATGACGTAAATCGAGGATTCCTCGCATAATCTGATCGATAATTTTTTCTGGGAGAGGACGGCAGGGAAAGGCTGTCAGCGAGACAGGCGGGCCGGCAACAAATCGCGCTCACACTCACATAGTTTTTTTTTTGCATTTTGCCCTCTTTCAGGCTTCGGCATCGACAGCTTCCAACCTTACCGTAGCCATGGCGTCAATGGTGCAACACCAGAGGCGAATCTCTGTGGTTGTCAATACGTCGGTGCAGCTCTAATATACAGAAGTTTTTATCTACAAAGATATTTATGTAATGCATTATATTATAAATATTCAAATATAAATTATGACATTATTATTATTTTTTTTATAAATTAGAGCTGCACCGACGTATTGACAACCACAGAGATTCGCCTCTGGTGTTGCACCATTGACGCCATGGCTACGGTAAGGTTGGAAGCTGTCGATGCCGAAGCCTGAAGGAGGGAACTTTGACATTCTTGATATTTTCTGAAATGAGTGCTACTTTGAAATAAAAAATAAAGAAAAGAAAAAGAAAAAAGATTGCTATTCCACCTTATTGCAAGTTCTAGGATGGAACATAGGAAATAAAATGTCTGATGCAAATCCAATGTAATATTTAAGAAATCCACATTGAGGAGCCTGGCTTCAGCATGAAGAAAACATTTCTTCTCACTATTGGAGAAATGGCAAAAGCATGAGGTGCACCACTGGTGCACCTCAAGTATCAGTATCATATCAGTATCGGTTCTTTTCCAATATCGGAATTATCAGTATATTGGATATCAGCCAAAATTCAATATCGTTGCATCTCTAGTTTTCAGTTCATGTTCTATTCAGTTGTGGCAGAGATCTTAGTACTCACATTGCACACAGATTTCTGTGCTCTGTTCTTTCTTTTGCACATGTCAAAGTGTTTCATGGAACAAGTACTAATTTCAGGAGGACCCCATGTATTGCATGTATTGACATCTCCATCCCAACTGCCCATTCAGGAAAGTACCAAATTTGAAAAAAAAACAGAAGCAAATTGAGGTGCAGTCAAGAGAGACCTTGTTCTAATAGTTGATCTTTCTGGAAAGAAAGCCATGGCAGTTGAGCAATGGTCATCTCGGTACCTCTTGTCAGAATTTTTATTGGTATTGCAATTTTGCTCTTCCCAAGGAAGACTTGCAACACAAAGCAACAGCCCATAGCTGCAAATTAATGAAGGTGAATCTAGATGTGATTCACCACCTGCACCTTAACCTTGGAACATTCAATTCATCCTGAGTGGTTACCTCTGATACAAGATCAGCATTCACCACTAGTTTTGTAATACATCATTTTTAGAGCTGGAAGTGCTGACTTGGGCTGTGGGAGGGGGTCTCCCTTTCCAAAGACAATAAGGAAACTATTTGGAAATATAAATGCCTGACTAATGGGTCATGGAAGCCAAGGAAGCTACTCACGAGTTCTGCTGATTAGAAATTTCACTGTGTGATGTCACAAGGATACACTTCCCTCAACTCTTCTGGGTGCATTAATGGAGAGCTGAATGCCTCAACCTTGTATTTAGTAACCTTGATGGAAATACTCATGGTGAAGGAATTTATTAAGGAAACTTTCATAGGGCATTTCAGGTTCATATTATAGGTTTCCTACTGCACAAGGTCCCAAAATGTTAAAGTGCAGTTGAGATTTATAATTCATAAAGATTTGGACTAAATTATTTTCTTTTAAGTGGCAGTTTCCAGACCCTTTGTTTAACGGTTGGAAATCTTGCTGGAAATGAGTTGCAAAATCTGAAAGATTGGAAATTGTTTATAAAAGCAATAGCTTTAGTTATTTTCCTTCTCTGCAATCTATCCTAATGTCCTTTTACTTGCTTGCAGCGAGAAACAAAAAACACCCGAGCTGTGTTGAACCGCGTGCGTCGGGTTTTGGATGATAGTCACATTCCCCAAAGTGTGAGCAGTGAGTCACTATCATCTCTTGCTTCTGATGCTGCTGATTCTCATGGTTCAGGACATGTCTTTCGTGCCCCTGGTGTTACAAATGGAGTACAGGTATGATGAAAGAATATTCAGTTCATATAACAGTTCTAAATATGTATGATAAAACGTAATTGATTTTTTAAATGTTATATCACAGGGTGGTCGAGCAGTGGCAAATATGCGCCACCGTCGGAGTCTGTCACAGGGAGATGCTCAATGGGTCTCACATGAACCAACAATGCCTGTCCGTCAATCAACAGTGCTTCAGCCAAAACTCAAAAAGAAGAAATCTAGGACCAAGTTGAATGCAAGGGATCTGAGCAAAAGTGAACGCTATCTTCTCATGCACCAGGAACAGGACAATAATGGTGGCATTGAAACTCAGTTTTACAAGGTTTGTCTTCTGTCTTCAGATTTTCTTTTATCATTGTTTCATATTTTGTTTTGACTTTTGAGGTTTGGGCTCCAAAAATGCATTCTGTATCGTGATATTTTTCACATATGTCAAAAACCAAAGTGCCTTCTTAGGAATGAATGAATGCATTAGTGCGTTTCATACATCATGAAATTGCATCAAGATATGTTTTTCCTATATTTTTTCCCTTTTTGACCAAATTAGTTGGCACTTATCCCATACTAATCAATGTTAATTTCTCTATATTTACATATATGCTGCTTTCATGTGCTCTAAAGGCAACTTTTCTTCTAACTTGTTCTGGCCATATTTGTGAAAATGTAAATTACCTGTAAATTTTTGTTTATCACTTTGCACATGAAAACACTGAAAAATTACATTTATAGCTGTATAAATCCTCCAATGCCATAATTCAAGTACACTGTCTTCAGTGTTTCTGCTTACATAGTCCTTCACACAACTATTGTATTCTGCAACTGCTTTGAACTGCCTGCTTGAGCACAACATGCTGCAGGTACTCCTGGACCTAGAATGGAAGGATGAAGGAAGTGCCAAGACAGTGGGGGTATATTTTTTTTTTAGTTTCTTCAATCTTAAAAAGCATAGCATGCCTAGTTCCAGGCTTAGAAGCAGTTGTTGGGACATAAGAATGCAATAAGCTCCTAGGATGCAGCTAAGCAGCCTGGATGAAGTAATGTCCAAAATGACTGTCTGTATCTAGAAATGGGCTATCGATCAAGACAACTCCTTTCTTGAAATTATTCAAGTCTTCATGGCATGAAGAGAAAATTAATTGATTGTGCTTTTATTGCTTCATAGGGAGATGTGTTACCAACTTGCTCAGGTGGGTCCCAGGTGGTATTCCAAGATGTTGAGGTTCTACGGCAGCAATCTCCAACTGGTGGGAGTGCTCAGTCCCACTCCCCTCGGAAGCGCAGCCACGAGGAGCAGAATAGGGATGTGGAGGCCCGCTGCTCTGTTGCTGTTGAGGGACATAGTGCCCGCACCAAAATCTCCCGACGTTGAAGAGTTTCATTTTATGACTTGGTTTCTGGGCATTTGAGGGTATGTCAAGGCACAAATGTAACAGAATTGAAGAAAGCACAAATTTCACAGGGAAGAGTGAGACTAACATCTTGCAGTTTCTCCAAAGATGCTCCAAAATATCTTATCAGTATCAGCACAAATTTTAAACGGGTTATCCTTGCATTTCATGCACAAACTCAAGTTGCACAAGAATTCTGCAATTATACAAGAGGCATTTTTCACAATCAGATGTGCATGTTAAAATAAGCCCAAGTTTCCCTGCCCTCGTGCCAGTGACCAATATTATGTGGCTTGGTTTTTTCTTGTCTTTATAGTTATAGCTTCCATTTCATCTGTGGTTTGGTGTGAGTTTTTGTATGGACAAAATTTTTTATTGGGTGCAAGTGATTCCATTATGCCTGTATCATTATCCAAACATTCATCCATGCTCAGACTCTGATAAGTCTGATTGATGGCAATTCATCCTCTATGTGAGTTGATCTGCATGTGTATGTACATGTAAATGATTGTGACTCTTACTTGTGCGAGGAAATGAATGTCATGGATTTCAATTTTTTCCCTAACTGACAAAATACTCAGCAAACACTGTATGCTGGATTTTTATAGTGCCTGTGAAAAAATGTGCCACTTGTATACTTCTTATAGAGGAACTTCTTTTAATTTGAAATAAAAAGACCACTCATCGACCTATTCATGGATGTGGTTGGAAATCCAGGAGTGTAATTTTTTCAATTGTAAATGATTGTTAATGATACTTGATGGAATGCAGTGGCAGCTCAGTCACAGAGGATCTGCTGTGGTGCAATGCCATGCAGAAAACGAAGTGTTGATACAACAAAGTGATACAAATTCCAAACCCCTTATGCTCAAAATCTGCCTCCTTCCTTACGCATGGTTTGAAATTTGTTTTTGAGATCTATCCCAAGGGAGAAGAAAATGCATGCACCATCCATTCACGTTTAGAGATCAAACAGTTGTACAATTTGGTTGAAAAGGGCTGCCAGTTCTCATGAAAGTTAAAATATACAGGGTGTCCCATAAGTCACTATACCATTTCAAAAAGTCACATTTACTTAACAGTTGATATAAAAATGGAGATTTTTATGAGTTTTTAAAATGTCTCAAAATGCCTTCTACTTATATCAATACATTTGGCATGAGGTTCGGCGCCAAAAAAATAGTCGGAAATCCCTTTGAACTCTGTGATCTCTCTCTCTCTCTCTCAAAGACCTCCATCCAGGTTGCAACTTTTCTTCATTGCTCCGTCAGTTGCGAAGCCTTTTCCCATGACAGTAACTGCAAATTAAACTAAATAGGTTTTTTTTAATGTTTTTCAAGTCTATCTAAAATTACAAGGCGAGAAAAACAAAAAGTTAAGCAATTTTTCAGCTTTCAACAAGATGTATAAAAAATGTCCCTAAACAAGTACACCTAATATGCATTTGAAGCTGTTTCCTTTTAGTCTGATTCCAAGGGTCGGAATTGGTATCACCTATTGGAAAAACATTAGCTTTTTTTATGTGGAAGTTTATAGGTTGGGGAAGTGCATGTGACAAAAGGGAAACTATTTTCTCCTCTGCCTTCAGGAAATATGGGTGGTAGCGCTGGATCAGTGGCATAACCTGAATAGATTTGGAGAGTCTACGAATAATCGCTGGAGAACAATTCGTGCCTCCGCCAAGGAAATTCCTAGAACCAGTGAAGTGAAAGGATTATTAGCAGCAATGCTTCGATTGGCAAGGATCGAAACAATGGCGCACTCTCCGGGAGAAATATGGTCATATTACAAGGAAAGCTCATTTAGCGTTGGCTATCAAGCCAACATCATCTGCAAATCGAACTACTACCTGGATCTCTGGAATAAATGCCATGGTTGCAGACTTGTAGCGAGGTTTGGGTAGGGACGTCGAGGCTTCTTCAGTCATTATGACGCCCCATATGTGAATTCTTCACCGCTGATATGCTACCATTGAGAACTTACGGGTCTCGAAAATCGTATGCAGAGCAGGTGCGGCTTGACAAGCATGCGAATGATGCAAGTTCGTTGAATGAGCCCTTCCCCCTTGAAATACTGTATTCCTACGATCAGTATGCATGGGGAAAGGCTGCCACTGCGACCTCATTTCCCTTATTTCCGAAGTAGGAATGTAAGCTGACTGTCATTTTTCTCGAGCACCTTTGAATGTTCGTAATAAGTCAGGAATGGCAAAATGGCATTTGCGTCTGATTTGGTGTTCGAAGACGCTGCTGATAATGTGCCTTGCGTACAATTGCTGCGCAGGCGGGTGAGAGAATATTGCGTTTCAATTCTCAGCTTGGAAGATGACTCGGCACGATGGGGCGGGCTGGTGGGGAAGTTTGCGGGACCGGCAGTATGGGTCCGTGTAACTTGTGAAGAGACTGCAGAAGTAGGTGAATGGTACCGTGGCTTCTCGACAAGCAATTTTTATCGCGCACCACTATGGTGGTGTCAAAATCAAATTCATTGCATTAGTAAGAGCCCATTTTTTAATTAGTACTTTTGTAACGCTCGCGGCGGGCGCTACACTTTCATAGAGGCTTCAATACATTAATACAGCCAAAGTTCCTATATATCTTTTCGTGTCGCTCCGATTCGCCGAAGGCATAGCTCTTTGCCTCCTTCATATGATAAGTTCATTTTTGTATGGAAATCTCTTTAAAGTGGGTGATGTGACTCACTACAAGTGTCTCAAAAACAAGAAATCAAATACATCAGTTACCTGAATGGCGAGAAAGCTTACCCGTGAAGGACTCTATTGGTGTATTTACAATAGGTGTCGCTGGCGTAGAAGTGGCCATACTTCATTTCCTGTAGCGTCAGTCAGACATCTTACGCTTCAGCCTCACCTAACCTCTTCGTGTTTTTCCTGACAGATCCTTTCTTTCATCATGACCGGCGGGAAGAGCGAGGTTAGTCACTCTATTTTTGTGTTGTGCGGATGTTTAATCTCCAGAATCCTGGCAGTAGGCTAACATTTCCATTCCTTAGCCTCAAATTGGTGAAATGAATTCATGGGATATTTAATGAGGCTATTCCGGTTTCGCGTAAGGAGATATCTTTGGAAAAAAGTGACCAGACCTGTATAGTTTATGCTGAAGGTAAAATGAATTCCCTTGAAAGTCGTTACACTGCTACTGCGAACGGTATATGATCCCTGCGAGGAAAATGAAGCTAAGATACTGGCTATACTGGGAGCTAACGAGCCCAAACGCCTAGTTTTTTCCTGTCATATTTCCTAATTAAACATAACCCTAACCATTGCACCTCTGACTAATCCTGACTTTGAGTGATCATAAAGAAGGCGAGGGTAGCGTGCTGAAGAAGAACCGTTAAGTATAGATTTGTGGTGCAAGTAAGCCATCACCTGCCTGCTCCCATCTATATCACCCCCCTTTTGTTGTGTTAGAAATAGGCAATTGCTAAATGATTTATCGATTCACTGTTTTGCCCCCTCCTGGGAAGAGTCAGGTATCTAATCTAACCTTAAGGATTGGAAGCCTAGAGTAATAGAATAATTCTGTGGACAGCACCCACATTTTTTTAAGGCTTGTTTTATTAACACCTGCAATTTTTCCCTCATGTACAATATGTACATATCAGCTTCAAGACCTGAAAAGCAATAATACATTATTACTTGAAGTTTTCCTTTATTGATCTATGATATGCCATGCTGTCCTCTGTCATGAATGTGCAATTTTACTGGCAACCAAATAAGTAAATGAGTAATACATATTGCGATAAGCCCGGAGGACCAATACTTGACCACGTAAACTTCTTCGATGCTGCTTTTGACTTATTTGTGAAGATAGGGATGTAGAACAATATCTATTGAGACAGAAATGTAAATGCTGCTATGTGATATGCAACTTCCCATTTACTTGGTCACTGGCCTAGACTAAGAAAAATGTTTGACTTTTGTTATGAAGCATTATTCTGAAGATGACGAGAAGGTGTCGGAACCAGAGCACTACCGGAAAATCTTCATTGGAGGTCTTGACTTCAAAACCACAGATGACTCCCTTAAGCAACATTTTGAGAAATTTGGAGAAATTGTTGATGTTGTTGTCATGAAAGATCCACAGACTCGCAAGTAAGTTTTCTATTTTTGATTACTAAGTAATTTTGTAGAAAAGTGAAGATTGGGAAATGCATGTGCTCTTGGAAGGAAAATTTGTGACTAGGCCTTTTATAGTTTCAAATCCAAATGTAGAACATCTTTATAAGTTGCATAACCCATTCCATTTAAAATTTTTAGATAACTAGGGGTGGTTTTTTGAACAGAACTATCTAATGCAGCTTTATTTCAGAGAAAATGTATGATAAATCTGGTAAATAAAGCTGCATCATCGGATAGTGCTCTGTTCAAAAATCCACCCTAGGTCTGCATAATGTGTCTTGCTCTCATACAGGTGAGAGAATTTTCTTTGCAGTTGAGTGATCGATTGCCAGTATATTTGATTATTATAAACTAATTTTGTTTAAATTCATACAAGTTCATTCGGTATATGACATGAGTTTCACTGTATAGGCATTCCTGAAATATGGATGAATAAAATTTTGCCTGCACTGGTGTTTGACAGCCCATGTGAATGTTCTGTAGGTCCAGAGGTTTTGGATTTGTGACATACACACACTCCTCCATGGTTGATGCCGCCCAGGATGCAAGGCCACATAGAGTTGATGGTAGAACAGTCGAAACAAAGCGGGCTGTTCCAAGAGATGTGAGCTTCCTTTTTATTGTATTTTCACAGCTTGCATTATTGGGTTTTTATATATGAAACTTTGGTGTCTTTCTCCTCTCGAAGGACATGGGGAAACCAGAAGCCAACGTGACTGTGAAGAAAGTTTTTGTTGGAGGCCTCAAGGATGATATGGATGAGGAGAGCCTAAAAGCACATTTTGCTCAGTATGGAGCTGTCACAAGTGTGAGCATAGCCACAGAAAAGGAGACTGGGAATAGACGAGGCTTTTGCTTTGTTGAGTTTGATGATTATGATGCTGTTGATAAAGTTGTCCGTGAGTACCTATCTTGCTTTTGCTTTAATTTTTAAATGTCTTTGGAGTACAATTTTGACATTTGTATTCTAGAAAGGAGAACTGAGCATTATGTAAACGGGAAGAAAATTGATGTCAAGAAGGCCCTTAGCAAGCAAGAGCTTGCGTCTGCCCCAGCCAAAAAGCCATCTGGTGGCCGTGGTGGACCTGGACCTTGGGGAGGTGAGCTAATCTCTGTGAATTTTGTTTGCATATAATTTATATCAGCATCTCAACATTGATGTCTTTTGTATTTTGTTAGGAAGAGGAGATTCATGGAGTTCAGGAGGTGGTGGTAGCAGCTATGGCAGTGGAGGTGGTGGCGGCGGCGGCGGTGGCTGGGGAGGTAAGGATGAAAACTAATTGACTGGGCAAGCCCAGTCCAATAAACAGATCTTACAGCGACTTTAGGTTAACGGGTGGGTTTTGAGCTTTGGGTGTGGGTGGATAAGTAAAATGCCTGAGGCTGTTGGGTTTAGCATATCATCACATGAATTTGATAAGCAACCGTGTTCATGTTGTCATAATTTCACCTTAATCTGCCAATATTAGATACATTAAACTATGAAGACTTGAAGGGAAGTGGCAGATTCTGCAACTTGGGCATTTTGGCTTTGCTGTGTGTGGGGGGTGGGTGACAGTTTTCATTTACTGTTCTTTTTTTGGCACAGCTTCTGTTACTACTTATACTCTAATGCTTTCTGAGTTCTGGAGGAAATAGTTATTTAGTTGTATACTTTTTTTTTAAATTCAAGTATAGAATTGAGGCTCTTGTAGACCATCTGTATATGGAGCCATATTTGCCAGTGTGTAGAAAGGCCTCTGCAAATCTTTTCTGAGAGACAGTTATGTTATCCCAAGGGTAGCAGCTCAATGATGCAGGTTTCCATTTGGAAGTCACCAGCTCGTTTCTGTATTGTTGTGGGGAGGGGGGAGTGAAAGAGCTATGACTTTATTATGGACTGGCTCAGAGCACACGTTTATGATGGATTAGAGCTAGTCCAATATTAGCATATGTTTCTGGAAGAAACCTTGGTTCATTGGACACTGGGTGCTGCCATCTTGCCCCAACCAAAACAATATTTTCTGTGAATTTGGAAAGCTTTATTAGTAACTGAATCAACCATTCTGGACAAACCAGAACCCCACAGACTTGGGTTAACATGGTTCCTTGCCCTTATGTGCCAAAAACCCATATGTCTGCTGCCAGGAGTGATGGGTGTGAGTGTTTTTCTTGTATGGTTAGATCAATGGATATCTTGCTTGCTGAAGGGTATAATGTCTTGAAAGAGGTTCTTGGTTCTGAAGTAGAGTTCAATATGCAAGAGTTTCTGCTTTAGGATTACCAGACCATCTGTGATTGTAGCCTTTGATACGCATTACAGCGTTGTCTCTACTTCTCTTTTGCATTAGGCCGTGGGAGTCCCTGGGATGGTCCTAGCCGAGGCTATGGAGGTGAGTTGCCTCTGCCACCCACAAGTATGATACCCTTTCCCTCTCTTCTGTTCTTAGTTATCTTATGTGGTTAACGTTATTCTTAGGTTGTCTTTTTTTTTATATTTCTGGCTTTATTGGCATTCTGCATCTAAATACCAAAGGGTGTAGGAAGGATTATGTAAGGTTGTTACTTTGAAAACATTACCATTGTTTAGATCAGGCGTGTTCAACTGGCTGCCTGCAGACCTGATCCAACCTGCCTACTCATTTTCTCTGGCCCATGAGTTCCTCTTTAACAATTGATTTCAGAAAGTTGCTGCAAATTTCAAAATGTGGTGTGATATTCGTTAGTGAGGCCCCCAAACTCATCTGAACCAAATCATTTGGCATATTGCCAAATTGAGTTGGACACCCCTGGTTTAGATCATTTGCCAATTAAAGCTGTGATTATATTCAGTGTTGGAAATCATTTGTGATCCTCTTATGGCTCTAGAAGTTAGTCTTTCATCTCGTTCTATTTGATAAAATATTAATTTATAGCATATGGTTTTGCATGTGTACCTATGAACATAATTTATTTCAGTATCACACTGAGTTTGTGTTTGACTTTACAGGTGGGTATGGAAGTGGACCCTGGGAGAGCAGTGGTCGAAGCAGCAGCAGCAGTTGGAGCAATGGTGGAGGAGGTGGCGGCCCATGGAGTAGTGGAGGAAGTGGTGGATATGGTGGAAGTGGTATGCCTGACTATTGTTTGTTATAGTTTTATTCAGACTCTTGTATGCTGAATTTTCATGTTCCCCTATAGGAAGCTGGGGAGGTGGATCTGGTGGGTTTGGGGGTGGATACAGCCAGGATTATGGTGGTGGCCCCATGAGGAGTAGTGGTGGACCTACTGGAAGACCTTCGCCATATGGTGGTAATGAGTTGTCATCCTCCTGTGTCTCTATTGTTCTCAGATATGTTGAGTATATTTGCTGTTATGATGAGACATGATAATGCTTGATAGGAATTGCCGTCTGATCGAGATATGAAGCTATTGTTAAGACTGATGAAAGCATTTATATACTATATATAAAGTTGATGGTAAAGGAATTGGTTCTACACAGATACATATGTGCTGTTCTTATTTTGTGATTTACAGGTGGTGGCGGCGGATATGGTGGTGGATATTCGAGATAGATGTCAAAGATTTCTGTTGCTTCCGCAATCCCCCAAGGTAAGTCTTATTTAATGGATTTAATTTCAGAGTAAAAAAATGAAACATTTGTCTCATTAAGTTTGATCTCACAACAATGTTCATAAGCATCCAAGAGTGTGGGGTTATGGTGTGGAGGCAAACCCCTGCGATCCTTTGGGTGATAACACGCATAATTGAATTTGACTGTGATATTGGCTCGACGTTTTTTAAAAAAAAAAACACAGGCGTTGAATGAGGAGGCACAGGGATGTCAGGATAGGATTGGGCATCTAGGCTATCCACTACCTATAACCACTGATGGTTTTTTTTAGGGCTCTGTTGTTGGATCAGATCATCCATATATTCGGTCAGTCCCCCATAACAAAGATTTCTTCCACAGGCTCTAGGCTTAGACAAGAAATTGTTAGGCTACGTTCCCCCAGTGGGAGTTTTTGCTTCTTGTGAAGGTTTGAGCTGTTGACCCTGATACCGGTGTGTTGGTCACTTTGTAGGCAGACGAATGCGTAAAAGTCAGGGCAGACTAGCCACACACAGAGGCCTTAGAGAAAGCAGGCCTTAGACAGAGACAGAGAGAGAGAGAGAGAGAGAGAGAAGGACGAAGGCAGTATAGGAGCCATGCTAGAGAGAGGAGGAAATAGTGAGCTTCCTGCAAATACAAGAAAAAAGGGCTAGAAACAGAGACAGAGAAGGGTAGGCTGCCGTTAGCCTTCGTCCTCTACACTTCCCGTCAGCCAGTGCTACTGCTACTGCTACTACCACTACTCCAGCTGTAGTTTGATAAATCAGGAAGACAAGTCTACCTTCTACTCTGTAAGTGAGACAAGAACTCAGTTTTCGTCTGCTGAGGGGGATTTCGGCCGACACCAAGTCACCTTGATTATGATTATCTTATCCAATTTTTTCTTGGGTTCTCTGTAGAGTCAAATCTTTGCACTTGCTCTCCGTTTCATAAGAATTTGCCGATTTATCTGTCTGTACACGTGGCCTTTCGTTTTTCATCTCTTGAGAGCCAACTGACCAGCCGAATTGGATGCCAATTCTCCTACAAATAAATCATGGTCTTTTTGCAGTTTGTCTTCATGGATGTTGTTGAAGTTTTCATTTTGTTTTTCGTATGTCTTGTATGTGGATCTCATTCCAGGAATAAACTTTGAGGTTGGGTCCCATTGTGCATTTTCTCTCATTTTTGCATTTGTTATGACAGTAGAAATTTACCAACTTTCCTATTAAGTTGTGTAATTTAACATCACTTGCTTATGGGAAGGCTAAGTCCCTGTTTTGACATTTTGAGTTATTTTCAGATTCACTGGAAGCTTGAATAGTGATTTTAAGTTGCATGTGGTATTCTGGTGTCTTCTGAGTGAGAGGTATTATGCCCTCATGAACTGACTGTCTTTAACCTGTGCATGGGATTGCTCATGCTCTCTTTCCTTAGGTTTTTTCTATTTGCATGCAATTTTCACTACATTCATTTGACATTGAACAAGTATTTCAAGCAGGTGTTGGTGTAATGAGTTCATGGTGCAATTGCAACTTTTATATGTGAAGCTGTTACATAATGGCTGCTGTTTTAAACTTGAGCATGGTGCCTGCCGGTAGTAGGCGTTTATAATTGTTATAGAGTACAAGTGATCTTGGTACTCTCTCCTTGCATGTATTACCTTAATGGATTTTTATACTCTACCCACTGAAGTGGGTTTTACTTTTACTTCTCCCGTTTCCCTCAATACAACTGCAACGTGAGGTGATTTCCATCAGTCTGGTAGGTGAATTTGTTGAACTAGGCGGTGCCATGATGTCCCATTCAGAATTGGATCCCCATTTTTTGAAGACGAGTCTACAATGGCATTTTATGTGATGAAACACCCGAGGCAATGCCTCCTACAATCGAGAGAACTGCTGATGCTCACATTTCAAGCAACCTGTGGTGATTTGAAAGTAGATTGATGATGCACCGATTAATGGTTTAGCTTCTGACCCACTGCGCAAACTTTTATTGCAAACCTTTGATCGTTACATGCACAAGCTCGTCACGCACGCAGACAAGAAGATCGCCTTTGACGAGATTTCTTTTTTCATTGGTAAGGTCTGCGTTACACTTCGGTTCACGTTAATGCGAAGACTGACGAAGGATGGAGATCTAACGGAAGGGACGAGCAGCATAGCGAATTTCAGTCTATTTGATTCTTTGGGAGAAGTAAGTCCCTTGGGAAGTAAAGGTATGCTTCAAGAATCTTTTAGCTCGGCTTCGAGATTTTTCGCGACTAATGCTCAACTTCCTAGCCTTATTTTGTTTATCTCAGTAATTTCATTGACTCGTCGATCCGTGCCCATTAAAGTGGTAAAAATAGATCAATTGCTCCGTGGCGATCAAATATCGTCAGCGAACCCGAACGATTCCCTCAACGGAAAGAGCCACGCATGAACTCCATCTTGCCGTGGTTCTTTGCTGTTTCGGTAGATGGCAGGGTCAGTTCCTGGCCCACTCGCTAGATGTCCTCCCTTTCCTGCTGTGGAGCCTACGCCTACCTTCGTGCCTCGGTTCTCTCGCGTGCTCGAAAGAAGACCTCGGAATTCGATGCCATGTGGTCCACGAAACGGAAAACTTTTCCCGCCAAAGGTGAGCGATATTTTTAGCGATTACATTTAATCGTTCGCGTCCGGTCGGCCTCGGCTGGTATTTCCTCTCGCTTTCGAAGAACTGAAATCCCCCGTGCTCGAAGACGCGAAGTCGGTGGAACGAGAACTTCCTGCGATGTCTCATCTCGAGGAGAGTTTTAGGCGAAAATCGGTGCGATCGCCCCGGAAATTTTGCGGAATCAATTTCGCGGCGGCCCCGAAGTGAATTAGCACACGAGAAGTCAATTAGAAAATCAATAATGAATTTTTGCAAACCAGTTTCGCGCGTGTGGGCCCAAAGTGCAGAATGAAAAAAAAAAAACTCATGATCTCATTTCGGCAACGGACTTCCCAGACATTCCTGAGGATTTCGTAATCCGAAACTGCATATTTGCATTCCGATTCTCTGCCCTCATTACTTTTTTTTCCCCGGAACGCATCAAGTCTCATGTACATTTTATATATATGGTAAGCATTTAATTCATCAGGCCCAACGAATCGAGTCGTCAACAAATTTGCATCAGCAAAAAAAAAAAGCTCTAGTCAAACTTATAAAATCTACAGCATTTACAACTCCATCACGAAAAGGATTTTTCTTAATTTCCGATTCCACCCGTGAGATCAAATCGCATCATCCTTCCGCCGAGGGGTTGCCATGGCAACTCGAGAGGACACCGAGCCGCGGAGACACCACAACGGAAGAAGGTCCGGAAAAACCGCACGAGACTGCCGTTTCCGGTTCATCCCTCCGCCAAGAGGAAAAATTTATTGGTCTGGTCATGGAATCGTTACTATTTCGTGACCGAGTCGTTATTATTCTGTGACGAATTGAATACGAACCGTAAGTCTTGTTCCCTTCAAGTTCTCCCAACGATTCTCAGACTCTCCAGTTGCCATGGCAACTCGAGAGTCTCCTCCCCCGAAGCACACGATCTCATCTTGGCATCGCAAGTCAGGCGGAAGTGAAAAAAAAAAAACAATTTTTTTCCTCGATCGGTTGCAGAAAGATCGATCAGTTCGGTGACGAGGGCTTTTGGTATAATGGCGATGCGGACGCGCTTCGGGGCAATACTGCATGGCAATATTGCACGGCGATTATGTGTGCAATATTCTGTTTGAAGAATGAGGCGGATTGAGAGATTTCGTTCTGGGGAAATTTATTTTGCATATCCGTGCGAAATTCCGCCTCCCGTGCAGATCGAAGAATCGGCACGTGCCGAAAGATTTGCGTTCCTTTTTTTTTGACGTTTTCGATTTCGAAGTGGGAAATTTGATAAATTTGTTCAAACTCCTGCGCGAAATTTGGGGCGGTCCTCGAGTTCGTCTCGCGACTTCGGCGAAATCATCCCCGTATTTTTTGCGCAAAAATCTTTAAGCCCGCCAACGAATCGCAAATCAGCGATGTCGGGAAGACACTCGCCGATTTTTGGACTTGGGGTGTTGACGGTGCGAATCCGTCTTTTTGCGTTTCGGTAAACGCAGATTATATTCACTTCGTTCTAAGATCGTGCCGCGATAATAATGTAGACATATTAAGCGTAAAATCGTTCAAATTCGGGCAGGACCTAAGTTAAAACGATACAGCGTTGCATAACCAAGCAAAAAAAAAATTAGTGAAAATTTCTCTCTGTTCTTCACCGTTAGGAAAAGCGTCGCCTCGCGAATTCTATCGTTTCTTTCATGTTGTTCGAACTTAGATGGTTTTATCCTGCACCTCATTCGATTCGTGTTCCGATACGAGCGATACACGTGCAAGAGCCTCGACGTGCCTCCACCGCTGAAACGTTCCATCGGACGCGAGTGCGTCGGTGGACGCGTTCTGGCCGGCGACGTCCAGGGGATGTCGGGGTGTGTCGGGGGATGTCGGGGATCAACTTTCTTTTCTCGGAGGGGCGTTCCGGTGCTTTTGCGACGATTTCGAGAGTCGTTCTGTGCGTGTTGAACGAGGGAGGACCGCACTTGGGGCTGCAGGAGAGGTCTCGAAAGAAAACGTGCACGGGGGAGTGGCCGTAGTTTATTTTATTTTGATGGTTGGAATGTCCACAAATGTGGGAATGACATTTTAGTAAATGTGTCGAATGGGGAACAAATGTTTTTTATTTTATGTCCACAAACGTGGACGCTTTGCAACGAAGGGTTAATAAACCGACTGGTAATTCAAGTCGGTTTTCGTTACAGTCAGATTGCGATGGCTCCCCGCATCGATCGATGCATGATGCCCTGCATCAGTTGATGCCTGCCATGCACGATACCCTGCATCAGCTGATGCATACCATGCATGATGCCCTGCATCCGCGCGGATCCCGCTGGCGACATCCGCGGGAAGCTGGATGAAATCCCCAGGTGGAGACGGAAGAAGTCGGAAAAGTTGAAGCGGAGAGTCACCCGCGTCCCTGCGGAGAGTCACCCATTCCCCCGCTGACAGTCATCCATTACCCCGCCGAAAGTCATTCATTTCCTGCGGATAGTCATCCAGGTAGACCCCGCTGCGCCGTCCCCGCCGAGAATAACGAACGGCGTGGACAAAAGCAAGATGATAATTAGCATCGGCTAATGCCTGCCCCCACGGGCCAATGAACAGAGACGGAATGGCCGAAATGGCCATAATGGCCATGTCTCCTCAGGAAACACGCTTTTTCCTTCTCCTTCATCGCAAAAATGCTCCCGATTTTTCAGCTTTTTTTTCCCCCTCCTCGACTTTCGCGTGGTGAATCCGTAATCGCCCCTGCTCGTTTACCCCTGTACACAAAGACGAGGTTTCTTGCGGGAAACCGGTCGTTACCGTCCGGTCATTTTCGTCGCCATCCGTGCCCAAAAGAAATCGATCGACCTCTCGGTTTAATCTCAAAGGAACTGGGGTGTGGATAATGGAACATTATTCTTTTCCTTCCAGATTTTTTCCCTTCCTGATTGGATCCGCCTGGTTAAAGGAAGGTTCCAGGAAGGCCCCAGGAAGGCCCCCCTCCAGGGATCATGCATCAAATTTTCGTCAGCGAAGTGGAAAATCACTTTTCGGCGAAAATCGCCGGGAAGCTTCGAATTTATGAAAGTATGGTATAATTTAATAATAATAATAATATTATTATCATTATATATGTTGGTCGCCGGCCGTCGCGGCCCCGTTGCGCAAGGACCGTGCCGCTTCTCCGTGCCGCTTCTCCGTGCCTCTTCTTGCCTCTTCTCCGTCTCATGTGCATGTTTGTGTAAATATGCGACCTGTCCCGGCTGACTTGCCCCGTCCGACCGTGCTCGCTCGAACGCGACGGGGGCGGATCTGCATTTTTATTTTTCATGCATAAACATGAAGCATCAACACGAAAGCGATGGTAACGTTATGGTAACGAAGTGGAGAGCATTTCTGTTGCGTCATGCGGCTTAGAGGAAATATTCATCGGAACGTTATTGTTGCATATATTCGTTTTTATTTCCGTAGACGGCCGACAAACCGATCGGTTTGTCGGCCGGAAAGGGTCTCAACGCGATCTTCAACCGTCAATTTGTATTTATTTGTTTGGTATTTATCACCCGTGGTAACACGCGTTTGGGA